TATCTAAGTGTCAAGTCGTCAGTTTGATATATGCATTTGGAACTCAGAGAAGGGTTTAGGGCCAGGGCTCTGTGTTAATTCAAGCTAGTCCTTTGATCTTCAGAACTGACCTGAATCCCTAGGCCATTTCTGAAGATCAAAGGACTATTCTGAATCTGGGAGCAGATTGGATGTAGTTTATTCCCCCAAATATGGGCATTTGGGCTATGGGAATAGTCAAACAGACCTGGGGTATAGCCATAAGAAAAAAAAGCCAGCCCCCCACAAAAAAATCTGTCATGATATATTTATAATATATGAACACTTTGCAGCTTACATATCGTCTACAAAGTACCTACCTTGCCCACTGCAATGTATTTTACAGCTAATGAAGTGCTCTTATTTCTGTGGTCTCAGTTTAATGTTCTCAACAATGTTGTGAGGTAGTCTGGCCCTAGTTTTCTTTAGCCCAGCCCCGGGCCTCCCCACACTCCCACATCCCTGGCCCTGGCCCTGACAATTCTCCTTGGCCCGGTGTCTCTCATCAGCCACACTGTGTTCGAGTTAGGGCTTCTCCAGGATAATTTTCCCCACGTCTGGTTGGCCTCCATGCGAGCGTGGGCCTTCTGAATCTCAGCCATGATGAAGACTTTGTTCACAACAGGCTATAGCTGCACAGCACTCCTGGGGGAGAAGTGGGCCAGGACTTGCTCCGTGAAGGTCTTCACCAGTGTTTCCTTGTACTGAGGCAGAGAGAACAGTCCATTAACAGGATAAGGATGAAGTCTCCTTGGTCTCATACAACTTCGAGGGGAATATCAGGCCATGCCTGTTTGGCCCTGGTACAAACTTTGACTCAAGGAGGTCAGACCAAACCACGGAGGAGGAAAGGTCATTTATCAATTTAAATTCCCTTGGACAATGAAACCCCTGGAATATCAAGGGACAATGCCACCCCCTGAATCTCCTAAAGTATGGGAGTCTCAATATGAATCCTGGACTTGGAAGAGAGGAGGAGTAAGTCCAAGTCAAATGAGGAAGTAGGTGGCAGAAATGAGACTTCTGAGGGAGGAAGGGTCAGGCTGACCCTGAGATTCCCATCCAGAGGAAGGAGAGTTGGCAATGTCAGCAAAGCTTCATGAGCAGGAATTCTATAAGCCAAGGCAGGTTGGAGTCACATGACTATAACTCAAGGGTAGTGCCCAGAACCTGCTCAGCTTTGTCTGTCACCTACCTTCTGATCCCTGGACCTCAGCAGACTGGTCCACAGACTTCCTCACTTACACAACAGCTTGTAAAGCAAGGGTCTGTTGACTTCTGCTCCCACCATGAGACCATTCAGAACCCATCGGCCATCTGCAGCCAAACAGTGGAGGTTCTTCTTCTAGTAGGAGCCACCAATGCACTCGAAGATCACATTGACACCCACACCTTGGATAGTAGGTAGAAATGGCTTAGATATCGTGGGAAGGCAGATGCCCAAACTCCTCCCCTCTGGATCTAGTTTTGCACATTCTCCTGTGTGTCAGGAAACAAAGTGGAAAGAAAAAGCACTATCTGGGAGGCAAGGTGCACTTAGTCCTCCTAGAGAGCTGGGAGAGAAGTGCTAAGCATGCAGCTTTCAGATGACCTTAGGCTAAGGAGATATGTCTCATGATAGTTCTAAACACAGACTAACCCAGCCTTGAGTACTTGCTCTGGAGAGCATTGTTCTGCTCTGAAAAGTTAGTAGACTTCCTCCTTAATTACCTCCTTTTTTGGTAATTAAAGCAATGTAATCCCCTTGGGTACTCGACCCCCTGGAGCTTTGAGGAACTCCCCAAATTTTTTATTTATTTATTTGCTTTTTGAGATAGAGTCTCATTCTGTGGCCCCGGCTGGACTAGAGTGGTGTGATCTCAGCTCACTGCAAGCTCCACCTTCTGGGTTCAAGCAATTCTTGTGCCTCAGCCTCCTGAGTAGCTGGGATTACAGGTGTGTGCCACTACATCTGGCTAATTTCTGTATTGTTAGTAGAGACAGGGTTTCACAGTGTTGGCCAGGCTGGTTTCAAACTCCCAACCTCAGGTGATCCACCCACTTCAGCCTCCAAAAGTGCTGGGATTACAGGTGTGAGCTACTGCGTCCAGCCACCCAAATCTTTTTTTTAATCCATCCCCACCATGGTTGAGATCCCTCAAATGTTTAAATATGGGAATCCCAATCATTCTTCTTTTTCCTCTTCCTCCTCCTCATTTTCCTGCTTCTTCTTCCCTTCTCCTTCTCTCCTCCTGTTTGTCCCTTTTCCTCTTTCTCCTCCATCTCTCTTTCTTTTCCTCTTCTTTCTTCTTCCTCCCCTTCCCCTTCTTCTCTCTTCCTCCTCCTCCTTCACGGGGCAGCCAGGAAGCTCAGACTCTTGCATAATACTTGTTCACAGTTATTGTTCTAATCTTTAGGATTAACATGTTTTTTCTCCTTTCCTTGGTATATATTTTCTAGTTCTAATTAATTTTTTTTCATCCCGAGTGTTTAGACCATCTTCAGCCTTTGGGAAAATACAGTAGAGAGCAAGGATTGCGATGGAGAAAGAAGAGAGGGTTGTGAGTGCACAGGAGGAAAAGGGAGATGTGGTAGGCAGCCTCCAGGATGGTCCCCTGATGACCCCTGCCTTCTAGTATTTACACCTTCCAGTCCCTCCCTTTGGGTGTGGATTGGACTTACAGACTTACTTCTAACAAGAAGGACATGGCAGAAGTGATGGGATGTCACTTCCAAGACTAGGTCACCAAAAGGTGGCTTCCCTATGGGACATGGGACACTTTCTTTCATTCTTGCTTGCTCTCTCTGAAGGAAGCAACTGGCCGTGTTTCACACTGCCCTATGGAGAGGCTCATATATCAAAGAACTGATGTCTCTGGCTAATAGCTGCCAAGAACCTGAAGCCTATGACAGCCATGAGAGTGAACTTGCAAGCTGATTGCACCCCAGGTGAGCCTGGCGATGACCACAGCCCTGGCTGACACCTTGGGAGAGACCTGGAGCTGAAGGACCCAGCTAAATTGCTCCCAGATTCCTGACCCACAGAAATGGGGAGATAATAATATGCATTGTTTTAATTTGTTATGCAGTAATAGATAGCTACTAATAAAGGAGAGGAAGGAGGAGGAAAGGTTATGAAAGGGGAGGGGATAGGATAAGAGAAGGAGGTTAAGCCAGGGATCAGCTAGCTTCTCTTCCAAACACTCAGGCCAGTGCACATGCACATACACACCCTCCTAACACACAGCCCCCCCACACACCAAAAACACAGGCACATACACACCCTCCAAACACACAGCACCCCCACACACACCAAACACACAGGCACATACACACCCTCCAAACACACAGCCCCCCTGCCACACACACCAAACACACAGGCACATATACACCCTCCAAACACACAGCACCCCCTAACACACACACCAAACACACAGGCACATACACACCCTCCAAACACACAGCACCCCCCACACACACACCAAACCACAGGCACATACACACCCTCCAAACACACAGCCCTCCCCCCCACACACCAAACACACAGCCCCCCCACACACACACCAAACACACAGGCACGTATACACCCTCCAAACACACAGCCCCCCCCACACACACACCAAACACACAGGCACATACACACCCTCCAAACACACAGCCCCCTCCCCACACACCAAACACACAGGCACATACACACCCTCCAGACACACAGCACCCCCCAACACACACACCAAACACACAGGCACATACACACCCTCCAAACATACAGCCCCCCCCCCCACACACCAAACACACAGGCACATACAGACCCTCCAAACACACAGCCCCCCCAACACAAAACACACAGGCACATACACACCCTCCAAACACACAGTCCCCCCCCCCACACCACACCAAACACACAGGCACATACATACCCTCCAAACACACAGCACCCCCCCCCACACACACCAAACACACAGGCACATATACACCCTCCAAACACACAGGCCCACACACCCCCCCACACACACCAAACACACAGGCACATACACAGTCTCCAAACACACAAGCACGAGTGCACATACACACACACACACATACTACAAATTCACAGGCCTGCTCACACCCAGCCTCCAAACACACAGGCCTGCACACACACACACCCTCCAAACACACAGGCCAGTGCACATGCACATACATACCCTCCAAACATACAGGTACACACACACACACACACACACACCCCAAACACACAGGCACATACACCCACACTCTCCAAACACACAAGCATGTGCCTTACACACACACTACAAACACACAGGCCTGTCCACACACACACTCTAAATACACAGGCCTGCGCGCACACACACACACACACACACACCCTCCAAACACGCAGGCCTCCAAACACACACCCTCCAAACACACAGGCCAGTGGACATGCACATACACACCCTCCAAACACACAGGCCTACACACACACACACATACACACACACACACACCAAACACACAGGCACATACACACACCCTCCAAACACACAAGCATGCACACACACACACTACAAACACACAGGCCTGCACACACACACACACACACACACACGCCCTCCAAACACACAGCCCACCCCCACACCCTTCAAACACACAGACCAGCACACACACACAGACACACACACACACACACACAATCCACACAGGCCTGCACACACACACACCCCACACCTTCCAAACACATAGGCACACACACACACACACACACACACATTCCAAACACACAGCACCCCCCAAACACCCAGGCCTGCAGACACACACACACCCTCCAAACACACAGACACACACATACCCTCCAAACACACAGATACACACATGTACACACACACACTCCAAACACACACCCCCACACACACCCTTCAAACACACAGGCCTGCACACACACACACACACACGCCCTCCAAACACACAGCCTACCCCCACACCCTTCAAACACACAGGCCAGCACATACACATACATACACACTCTAAACACACAGGCCTGCAAACACACACACCCACACCCTCCAAACACACAGGCATACACACACACACACACACACACACACACACACTCTCTTCAAACACACAGGCCACCCCCCACACTCTCCAAACACACAGGCCTATAGACACACACACACCCTCCAAACACACAGACACATACACACCCTCCAAATATACAGGCACACACATGCACACACACACACTACAAACATACCCCCCCACATACACCCTCCAAAAACACCCTCTCTGGGGTAGGGATCCTCCTCACCCACACAGTGCAGCAGCTGGAAGGCAGTGAGCCAGGCCTCTGGGATGATTGCAGCCTGGGCAGGGTCAGTCCCTCTGGGATAGGCATGAGGAGCCCCTCGGGGACAGTTATGTACTGAGCGTGGCCCCCACCAGGCAGAAGAGCCATGGCTGCATCTCCGATTTTCCAGTGTCCCTGGCAGCCAGGCCCCAGCTCTGCCACATCTGTCCAGTTGCCTTGAGTCCCAAAATGTTGCTGGCTCCTGGGGGCAGGGAATACTGGCCTTGTCTCTGTAAAGGGAGGGCAGCACAGTAAGTGGGTCTGATAAGAGGGGTTAAATGTCAGTCCTCCTTGTTGCTGGAGAGAAGGTGGATTTTTGGCTTGGAATCTACTTTTGGTTTTCTAGAGTGGGAGAAAATTCAGATAGTCTCCAAATAAGAGTCATTCCAGAAACAGCTTCATCTCAGAGACAGCACGTCTGAGAGGTCTTCCCTGTCACTCCCTCCGCCTGGCAGACCATGCTGTGAGTCAGGGGGCCGAGGGAGCTGGGAGAAGGCGTGGAATGCAGCTTGCTAAGGTCTGAGACCCTGAGAGGTGGGGCTGGCCAGGGGACATCCTGCAATCTCAGCCCTTGTTTCTCCTGCTCTGAACTCAGCTTCAACAAGAAGGTGGGCTATTATGCCATATTTACCAGCTAGAAACTGGATCTGCAAAGGGGATGTCATGCAAACTGGCTCTCTGATTCTCTCCAGCCTGGAGGAAGGGGAGGCAGGAAGGGTGCTGGCTTGGCTCTGGGGCACAGGGACTGAGATCATGGCTTGCAAGGGGTTGCATTCATTGCTGCCTGACACAACTTGGGACTTGGATCAGAATAGGCTCCAAACAAAGGGGCCTGGGACCCTCAGTTCTCACACTTCCTATGTATACACCAATCCCCTCCTTCCTGAGAGCCAGCTCTCTGGACACTGGAGCCAAATGATCTGGGTTCAAATTCTGTCTGCCATTTATTCAGTCATATAACACATACTACACATGCTTACTATGTGTCAGGCCCTGTACTAGGCAAAGCAGATTGCTCTGTCCTGGTGGAACTTACAGTCTAGTGGGGGAAGACAGACTTTAAAGAATTAAACACACACACACACACACACACACACACGAGCCAGATCTGTGGAAACTAACAGTCTGCCATGAGAGGAGAAGTCAGACATACAAAAAATGGTTGAAGAGCATCGCAGGGAGAGAGAAGGGTAAGCTCAGGGCAGGAAGGAGCGTGGAGAGCAGCAAGAGGGTGCTGAGCAAGTGACAGGAGCTTCTGCTCAGGGGGATGAGGTGTCAGAGGCCTAACCAGCAGGACCCCACAGCGGGTGAGGAGTTTCCATCTTGTCCTAAGTGCGTGGCCATCTCTCTGTGGGTCGCTCTGGCTGCCAGGTGGAGAGGGGGCTGGAGGAGGTACTGCCAGCGCCCAGGTAAAGTAGAACTGGCGTGGCCCTGGATAGAGCAGCAGGGAGAAGGGGGCTGACTGGACATCTGCTATGATGAGGGAGGCTCAGAGGCCCAGGCTGATGAAGCAGATGAGGAGCAGAGAGACAGGGCGTCAACCCCAAGCTTCTGGCTTACGTAGCTTCCTGGGCATCATTCTCACTTTCCTCATTACTGAAATGGAGACACAAGGACCCATCTCCTTGTGTGCTTGTAAGGCACTGAGCAGGTGCTAATGTCTGCGCGGACTCTCCCGGCATGGCCCAGGTGTGGGGCTAGGAAAGGCGGTGTCCCTAGCTGGCTCCAAGGGCACAATGGTGGGTGCTGCAGTCCTGCTCCTGAATCTGACATAGATGCCAAGAACCTAAGCCACCCATCTAGCCATGCTGGGCCCAGCTCCCTTCAAAACTGGCTAATGGTCAGATCCTGACCCAAGCAGCTCTGATCCAGGAGCAGGCGCTGGTCCCCAGTGCCCCACCCCATGGTGACTGGGTACCTGCATTAAGTCTGCCCGGTTCAGGGCACTGGCTGCCACCTTTAGGAGGACTTCACCTTCCCCTGGGCTTGGCTTGGCTACCTCCTTCACGTAGAGGTTTTCCGGTCCTCCTGGCTTGTCAAAATGCACGGCCAACATTTTATCTGAGGACACAGGAGTGGAGGGATGAAAGAAAGGCATGAAAATGGGGACAGATTTGAAAGGAACCCCCTTTCCCAAATTAGGATCTCCAGAGATCGCCTGTCTCCACCTCTCATTCTCTGACTGCTGCCCCTCACTGTCACTGCCTGTCTGGCTTCCCTAACTACATCCCTAGCTACTGCTGCTTCCTGCATCTTCTCTGACTGTGAAGAGGGATTCATGCAGCAGCTTTGGAATGAAAGCGAGATTCAAGTCTTAGGCAAGAATGGGACTAAAATATTATTACATAATGCACTGTCCTGGTCCCAGCCAGAGCAGGGCTCTGCAGACAGTCCCTCTCCCAGGGAGTTAGCCTGCCTTTCGGGGGCTGGTGGCCCTGAGAGCACAGCCCAGGTGGAGGGGAGCCTTACCTGGAGCCATCCTGCTGGGGTCTCCCTCCTTCCGTCAGCACTGGGGTGCCTGCGCCTCCTGCCTCGGTGTGGCTGCTGCTGCTGCTGCAGACCCAGCTCAGGGAGGGACTATTTATGTTCCTGGCAGAGGGATCAGCAGGCCCATTGCCTGGGATGTGGATGTGCCCTGTTTGTTCATTTTAGAAATTTAATTATCAAAGTGATCTCATTATGTTACACAAGTTTGATCCTGGGGAGACACGACCTGCCCTGCACCCCTCAACCTAAGGCTGTGGTGGCTGCATTCCTCCCTGTGCCCCTCAACCTGAGGCTCTGGTGGCCCGAGTTCCTCCTGGCACCCCTCAGGCCGAGGCTGTGGTGGCTGGTCCCTCCCTGCACGGGTTGTGACAGGCTGTCTTCCTTGACTTGTGTATCTCTGGATGCTGCTTCTGTCCCAGGGCAGGAGGGTGGCTGAGTGCCGCTTTCCCTTAGGGGCAGATAACTCACGTTTGGGGTGAAGGGGTGGCCATCTTGTATCCAGCTCTGTGCCAGCCATGTGGTGGGCAGAGAAGGCGCAGTGCAGTTTTTAAGGGAGGGTGAAGAAGTGAAGGGATGGGCGCCCAAGGGACCCCTGAAGGCTGTGGGTGTTTGAGAGGGGAAGGTGCCTCAGGCTGGGGAAAAGGTGCTTGGAAGCAGCTGTGCCTACTTGAGCCTCACAACATCTCCAAAGAGTCAGGCAGGTAATGAGCTCCATTTTCAGGTGGGAAAACAGAGAGGTAAAGGTCTCATCTAGGATCAGAGCTCCTCCACAGAAAAGCAGCTGCCAGAACCCAGGAGTCCTGGGTTAGAGTCTGCAGGAGAGGCTGCCTCATCACCCCCTCCCACCCGAATGCTGAAAAGGACAAGTGAGAGAAGGAAGGGCACCTTGGAAGTGGCTGCCCCTCACAGCAGATGGGGAAAGGAGGGATTTCTATATGTAGTGTGGAGCTTAGGAGGTTTCCCTGTGTGCTGCAAACGTCATCTCCATCTCTGAGTGCCTGATCCCCTGAAAGGGGCAGCGATAGGTCTGTTGGAAACCCCATAAAAAAGTTTGCTTTTCTTGAGACAAAGCATCCCCTCTGCTCTAATCCCCTTTCTGTCAAGATCCAAATTTTTGGGTTGGGTGGTAATTTGCAGTGTCTGTATCCACAGTGCCCCAGCTTTGAGTCTCCCCAAAGGATCATGTTTTAGCAGAACAAACAATATCTCTGTGTTAAGCATGGGTGGAGGTCTGTGTCCAGAAACCTAGCTGGTCCTAGGGTGCAGTTGCTCCTGCTCATCCTGATAGTTAAATGGGTTTGGGGGGATAATCTCTTGTCTAGTGGGTTCCCAGCTCCTCCAAAGGATTCGGTGAAGTTCTGCTGAGTCACCTTGAGGCAGCAGCTTCTCTAATTCTAAGCCGAAACTTGGGGATGACTCATGGTCTGGAGCAGCATAAAGGTTGATACTTTTCCCACTGAAGGAGCTGGAGCAGTTCAGCTCTGGGTACAGTGCCAGCTTCTGTGCCTGCAGGACTTTTCCTGGGTTCCTCCTCCCCTCCCTCTGTAGACACCCCACCCTGAGGCTGATGGGCAAATCCTGGGAGTAAAGATTTAGGAAGGCTGTGGGAGAAGGAAGGGCTTGGAATCTGCCCAGCAGGCCCCCTGTTCACCCCTGGTGTCTTCTGGGGCTGTCTGCTTGGCTGCCTGCCTCTGCCATCTTCCTGGCCACCCACCACCATGGCTCAGGGCCCAAGGCATTTCTCCTTACTCCAGGTGGTAGTCTGCACATTTTTAAATTCTGAAATAGGCAAAAAGTATGTTCCAAAACTATGTGTCCCCTCTCACTTCTCATTTCTTTTAATTTTACTTTGAGTTCTGGGATACATGTGTTGAACATGCAGGTTTGTTACTTAGGTATACATGTGCCATGGTGGTTTGCTACACCTATCAGCCGTCATCTAGGTTTTAAGTCCCTCATGCATTAAGTATTTGTCCTAATGCTCTCCCTCTCCTTGCCCCCATCCCCCAAAAGGCCCTGATGTGTGATGTTCTCCTCCCTGTGTCCATGTGTTCTCATTGTTCAACTCCCACTTATAAGCAAGAACATTTGGTGTTTAGTTTTCTGTTCCTCTGTTAGTTTGCTGAGGATGACAGTTTCCAGCTTCATCCGTATCCCCGAAAAGGACATGAACTCATTCTTTTTTATGGCTACATAATATTCCATGGTGCATATGTATCACATTTTCTTTATCCAGTCTATCATTGATGGGCATTTTGGTTGGTTCCAAGTCTTTCCTATTGTAAATAGTGCTGCAATAAACATAGGTATGCATGTGTCTCTTTTTTTTTTTTTTTTTTGAGACAGAGTCTTGCTGTGTCACCCAGGCTGGAGTGCATGGTGCAATCTCGGCTCGCTGCAACCTCTGCCTCCAGGGTTCAAGTGATTCTCCTGCTTCAGCTTCCCAAGTAGCTGGGACTACAGGTGCCCGCCACCACACCTGGCTAAGTTTTTTTGTATTTTTAGTAGAGGTTTCACTACACTGGCCAGGCTGGTCAATATAGAGGTTTTACTATATTGGTCAGGCTTGAACTCCTGACCTCATGATCTGCCTGCCTCAGCCTCCCAATGTGCTGGGATTACAGTATGAGCCATCGTGCCTGGCTGCATGTGTCTTTATAGTAGAATGATTGATAAACCTTTGGGTATATACCCAGTAATGGGATTGCTGGGCCAAATGGTATTTCTGATTCTAGATCCTTGAGGAATCGCCACACACTTTTTTTTTTAAAGACAGGGTCTTGCTCTGTTACCAAGGCTGGAGTGCAGTGGCATCATCATAGCTTACTGCAGCCTTGACCTCTTGGATTAAAGTGATCCTCCTGCCTCAGGCTCCTGAATAAGTGGGCCTTGGCCCCCTGCATAGTCTCATGTGCCTCAGACTGCAGGCACATGCCACCACACCTGGCTACTTTTAAAAGTTTTGGTAGAGACAAGGTCTTGTCATGTTGCTCAGGTTGGTCTTCAACTCCTGGTCTTAAGTGATCTTCCTGCCTCACTTACCGAAGTGCTGGAATTACAGGTGTGAGCCACTGTGCCTAGCCTCCTCTCACATTTTTAAGTTGATCTCTAAAATTATTCATCTGAAATATAAATAGTTCAAAAGATAAGGATTTCTTATTTCTTTAAATACGAACATTTTAAACTCTTACGACAGGCTTTCCGCCGCCCCCTCAAGAGACAGAGTCTCATTCTGTTGCCCAGGCTGGAGTACAATGGTGTGATCATAACTCACTGTAACCTCAAACTCCTGAGTTCAAGAAATCCTCCCACCTCAGCCATCCTAGAAGCTAGGACTATAGGCACATGACACCATGCCTGGCTAAACTTTCTATTTTTTGTAGAGACAGTCTTACTATGTTGCCTCAGCTGGTCTTGAACTCTTGGCCTCAAGGGATCTTCCTGCCTTGGCCTCTCAAAGAACCGGGTTTATAGGCATGAGCCACTTTGCCCAGCCTACATCAGGCTTTTAAATATATCAATTGGACTGGGTGTGGTGGCTCACACATGTAATGCCAGCACTTCGGGAGGCAGAGGTACGCAGATTACTTGAGGTCAGGAGTTGGAGACCATCCCAACCAACATGATGAAGCCCATCTCTAGTAAAAATACACACACAAAAAATAGCTTGGCATGGTGGCTCATGCCTGTTGTCCCAGCTACTCTCGAAGGTGAGGCAGGAGAATCACTTGAACCTGGGAGGCAAAGGTTTCCGTGAGCCGAGATCACAACACTGCACTCCAGCCTGATATTAGAGCAATTTGATATTAATATAATCATCCACTAAACAAGACCTAAACTCTTCTTTAACAGTTAAAAGTTTACAACCTTATTTTTCTTCTACTACTCATGTTTTTATTCCACTTTTTTCATTGAATCATATTCTGCTATATTTTATGCTTTACTGATCATTCTTATCTGCAACCAAAATACATATATAAATTGACATTAACTAAAAAAATTATTTTCTGTGGGCACAGGGCTACTATATGTGTTAAATTTTGTTTGGATTTATTATTACAATATTAATAGTCCACAATTGATCAAAACAATATGTATTACTTTAAATAATAATTATGAAAAATAAAATGTAAATTTTTTTTGGAAAGACATTCTTAATGACAGTTGGTAGGGTTGAATTTCTCCCAATAGTTATTATATATGTGGATGAATATTACTTATTGCTAGAATGGGACTGAGTTTGAAATTAGTTCTCTTCCTATTTTTTATTTTTATAGACAAGATCTGAGAAATCTAGTTTGCATAAATTAGATGGGAAAGAAATTTCACTGTAGGAATGCTAGCTGATTCTTTGAATACCTCTGAATTATGTAGTAAAAACCATATAATGATTTATCATCAAAAGTTATTTTCAATGCCCTATTAGCTGACAACTTAATTAGATCTTGCTTCAGTTTTATCGAAAGTAAATACTTGGAAATCATCCAGTCTGTTACTCAGTCACAAGTGGCATCCAAGTTCTCAGTTTCTGGAATTATATCAACAAAGCTTTCTGAAGACATATCAAATGTTTATTAATTATATCTGCTATTTTTTCATTTAGAGGCACTTTGTTTAAATTGATATACTCAGGAAAGATTCAGGAAGTAAAAATCTTAATTTCAATACATTTTTGCTAAATTTTTGGGATCGAATCCTTTTATCTTATCACATGCTTGAAATGTATTTTCAGGCCAGTCATGGTGGCTCACACATATAATCCCAGGAGTTTAAGACCAGCCTGGCCAACATGGCGAAACATTGTCTCTACTAGAAGTACAAAAATTAGGAGTTGGGCATGGTGGCTCATGCCTGTAATCCCAGCATTTTGGGAGGCTGAGGCAGGTGGATCACGAGGTCAGGGGTTTGAGACCAGCCTGACCAACATGGTGAAACCCCATTTCTACTTAAAAATACAAAAATTAGCCAGGCGTGGTGGCACACACCTGTAATCTCAGCTACCCGGGAGGTTGAGGTAGGAGAACTGCTTGAACCCGGGAGGCAGAGGTTGTGGTGAGGCCAGAGCATGCTATTGCACTCCAGCCTGGGACCAGCCTGGGCAACAGAGTGAGACTCCAAGATTCCGTCTCAAAAAAAAAAAACAAAAAAACAAAAATTAGTCGGGTGCGGTGGCAGGCGCCTGTAGGCTGAGGCAGGAGAATCGCTTGAACCCAGGAGGTGGAGGTTGCAGTGAGCCGAGATCATGCCATTGCAGTCCAGCCTGGGCAACAGAGACTCTGTCTCAAAACAAACAAACAAAATATTTTCAGTAACATGTTGGAGCTGCAGACTTAACTCATTTATGGAAAACATCTGTGACATTCTTATTGGCAAAGGCAGTCCTCACTGTTAAACTACTCAGCCAAATCAAATTACTTTCTATCAGAAAAGATTTCTCATTTTTAAATTAAAGTAATCATGCTAATATGTGCCTTGTGACAATCATTTCGCTTCTGAATCTTAACAAATATAGACGGACAAGGCATGCAGACTTCCTTTCCTGGATGAATTATGATATAAGAGTGTTCCTGTTTCTCACTGATTCTTTTTTTGCTTTACTCTTATGGGACTCTCCTTCATATGTGATGCATTTTTGAACAATAGAGCATGAAACAGATAATTCAATTTAAGAATATTTAGAATATTCCCTTCCTTTGGTACCTTACAGCTCTTATGCTCCAAGCCAGGCTCAAAGGCTCAAAGGGCTGTGTGAGTGTGAGCTCTTTTGTATGCTGGGTGAAGGGAGGCTGAGGAGGGGAGGCCAGAAAGTAACCTTGACATGAGTCTTCAACTACAGCAGATCCTTTTTAGGAAAGTACATATGGAAGTTGAGAACCTGGGAAAAATGAACCCCTTAAATCCATTCATGCCTGTGTGCCTCTTCTAGTGGCTTTGTGAACCACCAAGACACAAAGTTCTCTAGTTTTGAGACCCTTGTTTCAAAAGATCACCTGCTCCCTGGGCACCTCCACAGGTGCTGTATAGCTATCACCAACGTGTCTCTTGTGTGGGTCTCTCTGAGTAGCTGGACCCAACTGGAAGTTTGTAATGAGAATTATAGGAAGCAGCTGAAATGCCCTACAGAGGAGGCTCCAGACAGTTATTGCCTTGAGGAAGTTTATGAAAAAGGCTCCCACTAGGCACCCAGCAGTGCAGCAGGTGTGTTTAGGAAAGGCTGGCCAGCCAGGTGGTGAGCTGCCAAGAGGCTTCACCAGGCCTGCAGAATTTCAGAGGTTCGCTATAGTCCAGATCAGACTCCCTGCTCATCAGCACGTGTAGTGCGGTCTACAGCTCACAGAATTGAGTTCTCAAATCCAGATGTCAGTGTGCTAATTTATAAGGAGAAATTATTGGCATGGGGACTGAACCCCAAAATCTATAGGCAAATCTATGTGGAATGTCAAATCATAAGCTAAGACTCAGGACAAGATGGGATGATTGACATGAATTGAGGGTGGGGCCAAGATGGTGGACTAGAGGCAGCTCATGTGTGCTGCTGTCAAGGAGAAGAAGCAAAAGGACTAGTGAACACTGACCTACAGGCTGATCATCTGAGAAACCATGCCGGGATCCATCAGGGCAGCAGAGGAACACAGAGAGCATAGAGGAGTGAAGCCAGGCACCAACTGTATGGGCTCAGCATGGAGCCAGGAGAATCTCTCCAACACAAGACAGGGTGAGTGAGTGAGAGCCCTCAGGGGGACTCATGCTCTCCACAGGGATCCATGCAAGACGAGGAATAGGAGAATCCTTTGGGCCCCACACCCACCCATCGTGCTTCTAGACTGAGGCAGAGAGCCACTTAGACGTTTTATGGGGTCACCTCTCGAGTCCAAAGGGACCTCTATAAGCCTTGGGCCCCAGAGCAGACAAGCCAGCACCATAGCCCCAGTAGAGGCTGCAGTTACCATGCCTGGGAGCAGTAAGGTTGCTCCACCCACTCATGCTGGGCAGGCCTCAACACCAGCTTCTAGCCCAGCAGTCTCACTTCAGCCTGAACTCAGCCAGCTACTACCACCACCCCCACCACTGGTAGCCAGGTGGGCGACACCTGCTAGAACTTCCAGCCCAGTGCCCTGCCTCTGTGTGAACTCAGCTAGAGGGTGCAGGTTTCTGTTGTCCTGGGAAACACCTGAACAGCAGAGTGAGTGACCCTACCCACCCCCACCTCTGGTAGCCAGGTGGCTAACAACTGCTAGAGCTTCTGGCCCAGCAGCTCTGTTTTTGTGTGGATTCAGCTGGTGGGTGCAGCCTCCTGTTGTCCCGGGAAGCACCCGGATGGCAAGGCACATGACTCCACCCACCCTCGCTACTGACAGCCAGGTAGACAACACCTGATAGAGCTTCTGCTCCAGCAGTCCTGCTTCTGTGTGAACTCAGCCAACAAGTGCAGCCTTCTGTTGTTCCAGGAAGCACACAGACACCAGAGCAGACATTCTCACCAACCCCAGCCACTGGTAGCCAGGCAAGCCACAGCTGCTAGAGCTTAAGGCCCAAGTAGTCCTATGTCTACCGGAATTTGTCAAGGAATACAGCCTCCTGTTGCCATGGAAACACCCAGACAGCAGGGCAGACAACTGTACCCACCCACCCCCTCTCCTGTAGCCAGATAGGCCACACCCAATAGTTTCCAATCCAGTGGTCATGCTTCTGTCTGAACTCTGCAGGCAGGTACAAGCTCGTGTTTCCCCAGGAAGCACACAGACAGCAGATTAGAGCTGACCTGGCAAGGTTACGGGCCAACTGTGGCCCTTGCCTGAGGGAGTTCTGTGGACCAGACCACCCAAAAAAAGAAATGCAAGTAGAGAGACAGTAATTGGAAGGGGCTCCTCCAAGACCTAGAAGTGGACTAGAATTGAAGGCAGTAAACCAAACCCACCTTATACCATAATCAAACCCCTAAGGGCATCAAAGAAGAAAAAAGCAAAAACCAAAAAACTTCCAAAGGACAACAACCTTAAAGGTTGAAGGAACATCAGCCCACACAAATGAGAAAGAATTAGCACAAAAACTCTGGCAAATCAAAAAGCCAGAGTGTCTTCTTTCCTCCAAATGATCATACTAATTCCCCAGCAAGGGTTCTTAACTGGGCTGGAATGACTGAAATGACAAAAATAGAATTCAGAATATGTACAGGAATGAAGATCACCAAGATTCAGGAGAATGTCAAAACCCAATCCAAGGAAGCTAACCATCACAATAAAACAATACAGGAACTGACAGATGAAATAGCCTCTATAAAAAAGAATCCAACTGATCTGATACAGCTGAAGAACACACTACAAGAATGACACATTGAAACTGCAAGTATTAACAGCAGAGTAGACCAAGTAAAGAATCTCAGAGCTCGAAGAGTAGCTCTCTGAAATAACCCATTCAGACAAGAATTAAAAAAAAAGAATAAAAAAGAATGAACAAAACCTCAGAGAAATATGGGATTATGTAATAAGATCAAATCTATGACTCATGGCACCCATGAAAGAGGGAGAAAGCAAGCAACTTGGAAAATATATTTTAGGATAACGTTCATGAAAATTTCTTCAACCTTGTTAGAAGCCAACATTCAAATCCAGGAAATACAGAGAACCCCTGAGAGAGATTACTCAAGACCGTCCCCATGACACGTAATCATCGGACTCTCCAAAGCTGACATGAAAGAAAAGATGGCAAAGGCACCTAGAGAGAAAGGGAAGGTTACCTACAAAGGGAACTCCATCAGGCTAATGGCAGACCTTTCAGCAGAAACCCTAAAAGCCAGAAGAGATAGGGGTCCTATATTTAGCATTCTTTGTTTTTTTTTGAGTTGGAGTCTTGCTCTGTTGCCCAGGCTGGAGTGCAGTGGCATGATCTCTGCTTCTTGCGACCTCTACCTCCTGGGCTCAAGCGATTCTCCTGTCTCAGCCTCCCAAGTAGCAGGGATTACAGGTGCCTGCCACCCTGACCAGCTAATTTTTGTATTTTTAGTAGAGACAGGGTTTTGCCATGTTAGCCAGGCTGGTCTCAAATTCCTGACCTCAGGTGGTCTGCCTGCCTCAGCCTCCCAAAGTGCTGGGATTAGGCATGAGCCACCTCGCCTGGCCTCAGCATTCTTAAATAAGAAATTTTCCAACCAAGAATTTCATATCTGGCCAAACTAAGCTTCATAAGTGAAGGAGAAATAAGATCATTTTCAGACAGGCAAATGCTGAGGGATTTTCTTTTTTAACCACCAGACCTGCCTTATAAGCAGTCCTGAGAGGAGCACCAAATATGGAAGGGAAAGACCATTACTAGCCATTACAAAAACACACTTAAATACACAGACTGGTGACACTATAAAGCAACCACACAAACAAGTCTGCAAAATAACCAGCTAACAACATGATGACAGGATCAAATCTGCACATATCAATACTACCTTGAATGTAATTGGGCTAAATGGCTCAATCAAAAGGATAGAGTGGCAAGCTGGATAAAAAAGCAAGACCCAATGGTATGCTGTCTTCAAGAAACCCATCTCATATGCAATGCCTTCTGTAGGCTCAAAATAAAAGGATGGAGAAAACTTTACAAAGCAAACAGAAAACAGAAAAAAGCAGGGGTTGAAATCCTAATTTCAGACAAAATGGACTTTAACCTAACAAAGATTTTAAAAAAAGATAAAGAAGGGCATTATATGATAGTAATCGGTGCTATTCAACAAGAAGCAATCCTTCTGTCTCAACCTCCTGAGTAGTTGGGACTACAGGTGTGGGCCACCATGCCCAGACATTTTTGCATTTTTTTTTTTTTTTTTTTTTTTTGCCAATCAGTTTGAGCTTATGAGGTTAGCCTTGAACTGATGACCTCGCCTTCGCAAGCGCCATGACCTCCGGCGGGAGCCACTTTGGACCCCCATTTTTGCATTTTTTATAGAGATAAGATCTTGCTATGTTGCCCAGGCTGATTATAAACTCCTGGGCTAAGGCAATCCTCCTGCCTTGGCCTCCCAAAGTGCTGGGATTATAGGCATGAGCCACTGCACCCAGCCCCACTTCCACTTTTTTGTGGTTACACATTCCTTCTACATACATATCAATACGTTCACATGTTCAAGTCTTGCAGGCTTGAGAGCCATTCTTTGCATGTGTCTGCTCCTGTCCTTTCCGTTTTGATGACACAGCTTAACTTTAGCCTGAAGTATTGATATCTCAGTCTTTGTTTATCTTTGGGCCTTGGCATCCCTGCTCTCTTTTGGAGTTCTGACTAGAAGTCCTCAAATGCTTCCCAGCTTGTCGTACAAACCTCACAAGTATTTTTATATTGTACATCTCTGGACTGCAGAGGTGTGACTGTTCAGCATTGCCATGCTTTCATACTATCTGGAATTTAAAGAGTAACCTGCTTCTCCAGTCTCTGATTCAGCTAGTTCAAATGTCTGCAGTATTTTCTCTCATTCTCACCCACTGAGACACCAAGACTGTTTCAGATCCAACCCACAAGTAGAGGGGGCTGATAAATGAAAGCTGAATTACATGCAACTCCTACCTGCCAAAAAAAACCTCTCAACTGCATATTATAAGCTATAGTGTAAAATTCCTTTCTTGTAAAAGACAAAACAAAAACTCCAGAGAGCCATAAAGTTGCTCAAATTCTGACTCTGAAATTCCACTTCCAGACCTAAGGAAATAATCAGAGATATGAAGAAGTATGTAAAAGTTATAAACAGTAATATTATTTATGAAGTGAAAAGTAGAAATAATCTAAATATCTAACAAAGAACAATATTATGGTTAAATTATATGATATGCAGTGATTTAAAATGTTTCTGAAGCAATTTAAAGCCATTCAAGGTCTCATAGCATCATGCTAAATGGACATAGTAGAATGTCAACTCTATGCATTAAGGATCTAGATAAGGTTAAAACATATATATTACATGCATCAAAAAAGACCTGAAGAAAATCTCAAAACCATCAACAGAAATTTTCACTAATTAATTAATTCATTCACTTACTTACTTATTGAGACAGAGTTTTGCTCTTGTTGCCCAGGCTGGAGTGCAGTGGTGCAATCTCAGCTCACTGCAACCTCCACCTCCTGGGTTCAAGTGATTCTTGTGCCTCAGCCTCCCAAGTACTTGGGATTACAGGTACCCACTACCACGCCTGGCTAATTTTTGTGTTTTTAGTAGAGATGGGTTTTACCATGTTGGCCATGCTGGATTTGAACTCCTCATCTCAGGTATCTGCCTACCTCAGCCTCCCAAAGTGCTGGCAATATGGGTGTGAGCCACTGTGCTTGGCCCAGAAGTTTTCATTAAAGTTAAATTATGACTAACTTATTTTCCCAAGTTTTAAAAGTGAGCATATATTACTTTTGTAATCAGAATTTAATAGTTTTCTAAAAATACTCTCTAGCCCACAGCCCTGCTTGATGTCTCTTGAGTGACTCTAAGGAAAGTAGCCTTTTCTATTTTGGCTCTATCCATCTTCCCATTTTCAATGATCACTGTCTCCCACATACTGCTTTTTTTCTTTTCTTTTTTTTTTGAGACACAGTTTCACTCTATCGCCTAGGTTGGAGTGCAGTGGTGCAGTCTTGGCTCACTGCAACCTCTGCCTCCAGGGTTTAAGTGATTCTCTTGCCTCAGCCTCCCAAGTAGCTGAGACTGCAGGCGCCCATCACCACACCTGACTAAATTTTGTATTTTTAGTAGAAACAGGGTTTCAACATACTGGCCAGGCTGATCTCGAACTCCTGACCTTGGGTGATCCAACTGCCTCAGTCTCCCAAAGTGCTGTGACCTAGAGAACAGTGTACTTAACTAAGTAGTCATTATTATCATGATATAGGACCATGTTAGTCCAATCTGGCAGAATCAGAATTAAATTTGAATTCCCTAGGCTGTCCTTTGGCAAGTAGTCTAAGGTGTTACTTCCCCAGGTACATCTGAAGGGTATACTGACCAGGCTGGCCTGGGGTTGCTGTTAGGGAAAAAAAGATGCTCATGTCTAGTAATAGGCTAGAATCTTTAATTTTCAAAATAGGTTCTATAGCTCTCCACCCTTATACTTTGACTAGTGGTCCCTTCTCCCAAGTCTCACAGGGGTGATGTGGGCCAGATAGATGTCACACATGCAGGGAGTTGCATTGCAGCAGGGGAACCCTGAGCTCAGGGACTCCACTGCTTTTATAGCAAACAGTAAGCAAGCTTGCTTTTTGTCCTCAAGGGAGACACCCCTTCATTTTTCAAGGTTGCTTGCTGCAATGTAACCCTGAGAAATGTCCTGGATAAAGAGTGGTGAGAACCTTGCATTCTTGGCATACTTAGCAAGGTGTGTAAAGTACACACCTTGTGTAAAATAGCCTCAAGGAAAGGAGACTCCCAATAGATATGCTCCATGAAATGATCAGTGCTCTCATGTTCCATGCCAATGACCAACACTAATAAAAAAAACAGTTGATCAAGTAATTCCAATGAAAAAAGAGGATCTCTTGAAGTAATAAAAATTGTTCCCTGAATTCATTCTTCTTTTTTAGTACCTTCCATTTAGTGTTTTTCAACCATAAAATATTATTTTTTCTTTAGGCTCTCCAATTTTCTTCTAAAATAATAAAAGTGTCTTTCACGGGCCTCTGATGACTTAATTTCCTTTTTTTCTTAGGTAGTCTCCTGAAAGAAACATAGCATGGTTATTATTTATGAGCAGCAAATTATCACTACAAATGATTGATTCATCCATTTATTATTCTACAAACATTGGCAGATAACTATCATGTGCTAGGCGCTGTACTAGGTACCGCAGATACAAGGGTGACTGGATAGTTAAAACACAGTTCCTGCCCTCATGGAGTCCATTGTCTAGTAGGGGAGATAGGTACATATAAACATCAATTCTATTTCATGGTAATAAGTGCCACAGTAGAGCTATTTGAGCTGTCCTGGAGTGTGAATTGGTTTTCCATGCAGAAAAAGGATGAATAATGTATGTATCTGGGGGCAAAGGGAGCAGGATGAGAGTGGGATCAAGAGCATAAAAGAACCTGCTTCCATCCTCTTCTATATGTATTCTATGACCTAGACTTAAAACTGATTACAGCACTTGATGTATTTACTTTTTAAAAATGAAGTCTCACTATGTTGCCCATACTGGACTCAAACTCCTGGGCTCAATCGATCCTTCTGCCTCAGCCTCTTGAGTAGCTGGGGCTACAGGTGTTCTCCACCATGCTGGGTAGCACTTTTTTTTTTTTTGACATGGAGTCTTGCCCTTTCACCCAGGCTGGAGGGCAGTGGTGTGATCTCGGCTCACTGCAACCTCTGCCTCCTGGGTTCAAGCAATTCTTCCGCCTCAGCCTCCTGAGTAGCTGGGATTGCAGGCACCCACCACCACACCCAGCTAATTTTTTAATTTTTAATAGAAATGAGGTTTCATCATGTTGGCCAAGCTGGTCTTGGACTCCTGACCTCATGATCTCCCTGCCTTGGCCTCCCAAAGTGTTGAGATTACAGGCATGAACCACTGTGCCTGGCCAGCACTTCATTTTTTAACAAGCTATTAATAAAGAAACATTGAAGGCTGCTGCTTCATTCTCAAAAATTCCACTCTTCTTCTTAAATTGAGTGCTGAATATTACTTAACTAGCCTTCCTTTACTGCAATCATGACAAATGCAACCAATAGAAGACTATGGAGGAAGAATATCCCTTCCCAGAGCAGTGGGATATTAAGTGACAAAAGAAGTTGACTCCTGAAAAGTTAACTTCAAGGCAAATTCTGTAAAACGAATCATATTTTCCCACTCATCTATGTTAGAAATTTGACAATAAATCCCAGGTGAATTCTTATGAGAATAAACAGAATATCAAAACCATGAATCATCTATCTCTAGCCATATCAATAATCAAAACACAGAGCCTAGTTCTTTAGCATATAGATTCAGTTCTTTAGCATATAGATTCAGAGTGAGGCAAGGCTTAAATGAAGAAACTAGGAAACCTGGTTGATTTCCAAAAAGTCTATGTCCCAACCTGAAATGTCATAAGAAATTTAAGAAAAAAAATTAATAATTCAATAATAATTCTATAAATTAGTCACAATATATACTTAAGATTCTTTTTTTAAACTGAGGACTTGGCTGGGTGTGGTGGCTCATGCCTGTAATCCCAGCACTTCGGGAGCCTGAGGCAGGCAGATCACTTGAAGTCAGGAGTTCGAGACCAGCCTGGCCAACATGGTAAAACCCCATTTTTACTAAAAATACAAAATTTAGTCAGGCATGCTGGTGGGCACCTGTAGTCCCAGCTACTTTGCAGGCTGACTGAGGCAGGAGAATTGCTTGAACCCTGGGGTGGAGGTTGCAGTGAGCCAGGATTGCACCACCACACTCCAACCTGGGCAATAGAGTGAAACTGTGTCTCAGAAAAAAAAAAAGAAAAACACAAAAACAACAAACAAAAATAACTGAGGACCTAGAATTAAAGATGTTAACATTTTACCAGTGTTACGAATGTGACTCTGTAATATATTTATTTTAAAAACAAACCTGATTTTCTTTTTTATTTATTTGTTTTGAGACATAGTCTCTCTGTGTCACCCAGGATGGAGTGCACTGGTGCCACCTTGGCTCACTGCAACCTCTGCCTCTTGGGTTCAAGCAATTCTCCTGCCTCAGCCTCCCAAGTAGCTGCGATTACAGGCACTTGTTACCACAACCGGCTAATTTTTGTGATTTTAGTAGAGATGGGGTTTCACAATATTGGCCAGGCTGGTCTCAAACTCCTACCTCAAGTGATCCGCCTGCTTTGGCCTCCCAAAGTGCTGAAATTACAGGCATGAGTCACTGCACCCAGCCCATAATTCTTTACTTCTCAAATTTTCTACAAAGATCACATAATTTTTTAGATAGAGAAAAATATTTTTTTAAAAAGGGAGTGAGGAAACAAAAGTCAGTCATAAGATAACTGGCTCCTGAGTGGATATCAGCCTTGTCCATCCCTCCTGAGCATCCAACCATTTCCAGGATAGTGTGTCCCTTCCCAGAGCAGTGGGATATTAATGGCACGATGCCACCGGTGCACTTCTAACCAGGGCACATTCTTTGGAGTCCGTCGAGTTTTTTGTGGCCCTAAGCAAGACTATCAACCTTTAGTGCCAGCCACATAATCTACATTATAGTAGTTGGGCAATTTCTCTGGTACCATCTGGGGAGTTAGCTCTGAGCTCTAGCTGACAGGATAAGAGGCTGGCTTCCTGAGAGCAGAATTCCCCATCTTTCTAATCTCATATTCTGGTTATTTTAATTAGATAATTAACCTGGATCTCTATGTCTCTGTTCTGCTCTCTGCTCCTGCCCTACCATTCTGAAATAAAGCCTCCTTCAAATCCTGACACCTGCTCAGGAAGGGTTCAATAATGCAAAATGTGATAAAATGAGGCGTATCTGTACATAGGTATGTAGTTCCTGTGATGGTGCTTAATTTCTCATTTGGCCCTTGAAGATTCAGCTCTCCAGAGCCTTCCCTGACTCTGCTAGGCCGAAACAATTAATTTATTTGTTCATTAAACATGTACTAATTGCCTACCCAACAGCAGATACTGTGTTAGCTAATGGAGAAGGAGAATGATTAAGACAAAATTCTTGCCTTCCAAGAGTTTACAATCTAGATAACCAAAGAACTATAATGGGGATAATCATAAAGGTATGCATAAAATCCATACCACAGTTGGCAGAAGCCAAGATCTGACTTGGGTCTTTAATGAGGATTAGGAATTTGCTGAATAGATGTGAGGGACAGGAAGGGAACTGGAAAATATTTTAGGCAGATAGGACAGCATGTATAGAGGCATGGAAGGCAGAGGATATATCTTAACCAGCTGTTTCCCTAATTTATCTAGGATAGTGCAGGGCACATGGTGATCACCTTTGAATATTTCTTGAATGAATGAACGAATGGCTGCTTTTGTTACTAGAGGCTTCTACCCTTCCTTCCTCCCTCTCTCTTTCTCTCTCTCTCTTTCTTTCTTTGAGGTAGAGTTTGACTCTTGTCCAGGCTAGAATGCAATGGCACGATCTCGGCTCACTGCAACCTCCACCTCCTGAGTTCAAGCGATTCTCCTGTCTCAGCCTCCTGAGTAGCTGGGATTACAGGCATGTGCCACCACACTTGGCTAATTTTGCATTTTTAGTCGAGGTGGGGTTTCTCCATGTTGGTCAGACTGGTCTTGAACTCCCGACCTCAGGTGATCCGCCTGCCTTGGCCTCCCAAAGTGCTGGGATTACAGGTGTGAGCCACTGCGCCTGGCCAACTACTTCAAAGGAGTAATTAAGCAACTCCAGTAAATTTTTTAAAATTAAATTTACTAGAGTTGCATAAATTTAAATTAAAAAAATCTAAACACAAATACGATTTACCATTTATTAAGATCAATTCTCACAGATATAATACTCAAGCTAGTTCTCTATGAGATCTTTATTCAAAAATATATGGACACAAAGAGGGAATTCAGTATACACCAACAAATTGACTGCCTGGCTCATGGTAATTTCTTTTCCTATAAAATGTCTTTTTACATAGGGTGGACCTCCAGCAGCCACATCTCTGCCTTTTTACCCTGCTGTCTCCCTCCTCCCCTATCCTGCCCTACCTACATAGCTGACTGATACAGGGGTAAACCATATGACCTGAAACTTGCCAAATTAGGGTCCTAAGAGAAATTAAGTGGTATTATGGGAGGCTCAGCCATGACATCAGCCAGGAAAGGAAACAGTTTTCTACGAGACAGAACAAAGCTGACTCACTTAGAATCAAGACAGAGAGACAGAGTCCTAGCAGTGTTTCAGTCCCTGGAATCTACTGTCCCCATGGCTCAGCTGCACCCTGTCCTTCCAGTGGTTGTGTAAATAACCTTAGCATACTTCCAATAAATTCTTCCTTTCTGACCTTGCTGGTTTGAGCTGAATCTCTGTGACTTGTAGTCAGAAGACCTAACAACCAAAGAGAATGAAGACATGAACTGGGATGCCGACTTACCCAGCTTCTCTGTGGCTTCCACACAGACACTAGGATACATGCTCTCAGTGTAAGTTGCCACCAGAAGATACAGATGAGTCTTCACGACAACCACACCAGTGTTCTCCTGGATAAAGAATAAAAGAGAATATGCTGCTCTTGGTTCTAATCACAGGACCAGCGGTCATGCTTCAGCTATGTTTTTCACCATTTCCTGATTTCCATATATTTATATATCTGTTTTTGGACTGTCCACTCTTTTCCATCAATTTAGTTGCCTTTCCTCAACAAGTTTTAGACTGTTATCATAATGGTGGATGGATTTTGAAAAAGTTCCTCAACTGATTGTCATATACTCCTATCCCAATTAGAACAACTGATGTAGGCCAGGTGCGGAGGCTCATGCCTGTAATCAATCCCAGCACTTTGGGAGGCTGAGGCAGGCAGATCGCCTAAAGTTGGGAGTTTGAGACCAGCCTGGCAAACATGGTGAAACCCTGTATGTACTAAAAATACAAAAATTAGCCAGGAGTGGTGGCAAGTGCCTGTAATCCCAGCTTCTCGGGAAGCTAAGGCAGGAGAATCACTTGAACCCAGGAGGTAGAGGTTGCAGTGAGCTGAGATTGCACCATTGCACTCTAGCCTGGGCAACAAGAGTAAAACGCCATCACAAAATAATAAAAAAAAGAACAACTGATATAATGGAAAGGTGGTACATTTTGGAATTGGACAGCTCTGGGCTTGAATTCTAGTGCATCCATTTTCTGTTGCATGAATAAGGGTTATTTAACCATGTTAAGCCTCAGTTTCCTCATCTGTAAAATGAGGTTATTTAGTTTATAATGTGGATGAAGCACATCTAACTCATAATATAGGGCATCCAATGAATGATTTTCATCTCCTTCATTCCTTATAAGCAACAGAGAGCTGAGAGTTTGTTTGTTTTGAGATAGAGTTTCACTCTTGTTGCCCAAGCTGGAGTACAATAGCGCGATCTTGGCTCACTGCAACCTCTGCCTCCCAGGTTCAAGCAATTCTCCTGCCTCAGCCTCTGGAGTAGCTGGGAATACAGGTGCATGCCACCACACCCGGCTAATTTTTTGTATTTTTAGTAGAAACAGGGTTTCACCATGTTAGCCAGGCTGGTCTCGAACTCCTGTCCTCAGGTGATATGCCCACTTTGGCCTCCCAAGTCCTGGGATTATAGGCATGAGCCACTGTGACCTGCCACTGAGGGAGATTTTAAGTGCAGAAGTTATGTCTCTATATCTATATCTATATCTATATCTATATCTATATCTATCTATCTATCTATATACTTTTTTTAAAGGAGGATGTAGAGTATGAAGGCTGGACTATAGTGGAAAGAGTTCAGGCCAGGCTCAGTTTATAGATTCTGCAATGAACATTTCTCAGAACCAGGCTCTCTGATAGGACTTTCTTTCACATGTCTTTCTGGCACTAGAGTGTTATCTCAGACACTGCCTCAAGACATCAATGGGTTTAATCTGTTTTACAGAGAGGATCAGGCAGGGCAAAGAAAATTGGAGGCAAATTCTTTTCTTTTATTCAGCTGTCTTCAAATCTTGAGCACTCACATTTTTGGCATAAAGAGAATAGTCATCCGCCCGGACACATTTGTAATACTTTTCCTTGAAATACAGTCCTTTTCTCCGGGCTTGCAAAGGGTTCTTGGCAAATCCATTCACCAGTGTTCGGACATCACCGGGCATTACCTGGAGAGGTTACATGGTTACAACAGGAGTCAGCCAACTATGGCTGGTGGCCAGCCAAATTTAGCCCACTGTCTGTTTTTTATGGCCTCTAAGCTAAGAATGGTTTTCACATTTTTAAATGGTTGGGGGGAAAAAAATCAAAAGAACCATAACACTTTGTGACACTTACAAATTATATGAAATTCAAACTTCAGTATCCATAAATATAAAATTTTATTGGAACACAGTCACATTCATTCTTTTACGTATGGCTGTTTTTCCTTTACAACTGCAGAGTTGAGTGCTTGTGACAGAGACTCCATGGCTCTGTGCTATAGTTTGCATCTCATGTTGAAATCTGATCCCAACTTTTGCAGTGGGGGCCTAATGGGAGGTGTTTGGATCATGGAAGTAGATCCCTCATGAATAGATTAATACCCTCCCTGTGAGGTGGGAGAAGCTGTGAGTGAGTTTTCCCTGTATTTGGTCCAGGAGAGCTGGCTGTTAAAAAGAGGCTGGCACCTCTCCACTTGCTCTCTCTTGCTCCTTCTCTCCCTCTGTGATCTCTGCACATGCTGGTTCCCCCTCACCTCTGCCATGAGTGGAAGCAGCCTAAGGCTTTCACAAATGACCGGTCTTCCAGCCAGTAGAACCATGAGCCAAATAAACCTCTTCTTTATAAATTACCCAGCTTCAGGTATTCCTTTATAGCAACACTAAACCGACTAAGACGCTTAGAAATCTAAAATATTTATGTGGCTCTTTACAGAAAAAGTTCTTTTTTGTTTTGTTTTGACCGAGTCTCACTCTGTCACCCGGGCTGGAATGCAGTGGTGTGATCTCAGCTCACTGCAACCTCCACCGCTTGGGTTCAAGCAAGTCTCCTGCCTCAGCCTCCCAAGTAGCTGAGACTACAGGTGCGTGCCACCATGCCCAGCTAATTTTTGTATTTTTAGTAGAGATGGGATTTCACCATGTTGGCCAGGCTGGTCTCAAACTCCTGACCTCAAGTGATCCACTTTCCTCAGCCTCCCAGTATTGGGATTACAGGCGTGAGCCACCACACCTGGCCAGAAAAAGTTCATTTGACATTCATGTCTGGGGCTGGTGGCTCACGCCTGTAATCCCAGCACTTTGGGAGGCCAAGGTGGGCAGATCACCTGAGGTCGGGAGTTGGAGACCAGTCTGACCAACATGGAGAATCCCGTCTTTACTAAAAATACAAAATTAGCCAGGTGTGGTGGTGCATGCCTGTAATCCCAGCTACTCAGGAGGCCGAGGCAGAATCACTTGAACCCAGGAGGCAGAGGTTGGGGTGAGTTGAGATCGTGCCATTGTACTCTAGCCTGGGAAACAAGAGCAAAACTCCATCTCATAGGAAAAAAAAGTCATGTCTGGGCCAGGCGCAGTGGCATGCCTGTAATCCAAGTGCTTTGGGAGGCCGAGGCGGGTGGATCACCTGAGGTCACGAGTTCAAGACTAGCCTGACCAACATGGTGAAACATCATCTCCACTAAAAACACGAAAATGAGCCAGGCCTGGTGGCGTATGCCTGTAATCTCAGCTACTCAGGAGGCTGAGGCACGAGAATCGCTTGAACCCGAGGTGGAGGTTGCAGTGAGCTGAGATCGTGCCATTGCACTGCACTCCAGACTAAGCAAGGAGTGAAACTCCGTCTCAAAAAAAAAAAAAAAAAGTCATGTCTTCTTTATGTTTTGGAAGAACACAAATAGTAAATCAGAAGTCTTATGTCCAAACTTGTTTTTTCTTACATTGAAACCTGGTGATGCCACAGACAGGCTCTGCTCCTGGATTTTGATGAGGGCTGCACCATCCACGTGCTTGGTTCCCAAGAGGGTGTCTAACAATAAGCTTTGCAAATGGCTCATGTTCCCTCAACTCTGAAAGGAAAACTGCATTTGAAGCCATTGACTCTGGCTAGCTTTTAAAAGGCATGTGAATACAAATGTCCCTAAGACACTTTGGTTAGTTTTAAGGTCAGCAAGTGTACTTTGAAAAGATACACAGTGAAAACGGTGGTTCATCATTCAGGGCCCACCAATACCCAAAGAGGAAAACAGAATCATAGAAAAATCACAGCACACACAGAGTAGGTTATGAAGCTGAGTTTGGAAAATCATAGCCTCATGATTTTCTGGCCGTGTCAATGGTTTACATCAGGATCATTCGGGATTTAAAAACAAACATTGCACACTGAAAAAACCCTGTAAAATAAAATATAAAAGAAAAAACAAAACCCAGCCAGGGTGGAGAGCTACCCTACTAAGGTCAACAGGACTAGAAGAGATATGCGTGGTCATGAACCCACACATTCCCTTCCCGGCGACCTGCATCAGCGCCAACTGTGAACGCTGATCAACATCCCAGTGGACACCTTGAAGGCACTTAAACCCACATTTCCCGCACAAGTCCCTAAGCCTTGGACCCCCTTATTAGGACCTCCAGCAGAGGATCCCCTTTCCCGTCACTGCCTTTCAGTGGTTTGGTCCCCGGAGCAGGACCGAAAGCGGGGCAGGGGATGGTGAGCGGTGAATTCCCCGACACCGAGGACTCGAGGGAGCGGACGCCACCCCCCTCTCTGGTGCTCTGCAAGGGGCCAGCGACCGAGGACCCGCCCGTCAACGGACGCGATTGGGGGGATGGGTGGCGGTGGCGGGATTGGCCAGGCCACGCGCAGGTCACGGAGAAGCAGGGACTTCAGACCCTTCCGCAAACCAAGACCCGCCGGCTAGAGCCGCCGCCCAATCCCTTTTGGCTTGAAGTCTTCCTCCGCCGCCCCGGCGCCGGCCGCTCGCACTCGCTGTGGAACCCGCAGCGGAAGGGGCGGAGGGGCCGTGCGGCGCTGCGTCCGGGAGACAGTGGGCGCCAACGTTCGCGCGTTCCGCAGAGGCAGGCGGCCTCTCTTCCTGCCTCAGCCGGACGACTCCGGGGCCGTCGGGCCGGGCCTGGGTGTGGTGCAGGACGGCTGCGGACCTGCCGGCCTTGGGAGGGTAGAGAGGTGCCTGTCGCGGCCGGTGACCTCCCCGCCAGGCCGGGGGACCCCGCGTACGACGTGCCGCGCGGGAGGCCCCCGGCACCCGACCGACCGAACGGGTGGGAGGAAGGGCCGGGAGAGGGCGCGGTGGGCAAGAGCGGGTGCGGACCCGACGACCTCCCCGTAGCGCCCCGGCGTCGGGGAGGACTTCGGACCTCGCAGAGCCCGAAGGCTCGCAAATTTTGACCGAAAACCCCTCCCTTCTCCAAGCAGCTCAGCCTGTGTTCTGTAGCCAGAAAATTACAGTTCTTCCCACTCAAGGCCACCAGAGTCAGAAAATTCCTGCAAATGGGCTCCCAGAGGCCAGGCTGAAGCTGCCACACTGGCTGGAATGGGCTACTTTGGAGAGGGACGTGGGAATTCATTCCAAGGAGCAGGGAGATTCTAAGAGAATCTCACCAGCTTACAAAGGAGGCAGGCTCTGAAGCCGTCATCTAGAGCCTGTGGTGAAGCCCTCTTGTTAGGGCAACTGGATGGTTTGTGTTCAAAATCCATTTCGCGTGTGTGCAAAGACACAGGTGTTATTAGAAGGGAAAATTCAATGACTGAAATTTTTAATACTAAATAAGCTGATTTTTAGTTTTTCTAGGGGCACTGTTATTTGTGACCACAATGAAAAGTGTAGACAGTGATGATCTGGTAACTGGCACACTTCCCAAGCTCAAGAGCTCAAAAGAATGGTTGGAGCCCAAGCCCCTTTGTTTTATGGAGGTATGATAAATAGTGTGGGATTTGGAGATTTTTTTTACTTGGGTCGTTGCAGTGGGAAGTGGCTTGTGCTAAACATGGTTTTTTCTATTTTTTTGTTTTTATTCTGTTTATTCCCTTCACTAACTTTGTATATTCACTTTGCTGTTTCTTTTTCTAACATCTTAAGGTGGAATTATAGATCATTGATTATATACCTTTTTAAATGTAACATAGCTGTAAGTTTCTCTTGAAGTACTGCTTTAGCTGTATCACCCAAATTTTGATATGATGTATATATTTATTTATATTTATTATTGAGACAGGGTCTTGCTGTGTTGCCTAAGCGGGAGTGCAGTGACATGATCATGACTCACTGCAACCTTCACCTCCTAGAATCAAGCCATCCTTCCACTCCCTAGTAGCTGGAACTACAGGCGCACACCACCATGCCTGGCTAATTTTTGTATTTTCTGTAGAAACGGGATCTCTCTGTTTCCTAGGCTGGTTTCCAACTCCTCAGCTCAAGCAATCCCCCCAACCTTGGCCTTCCAGAATGCTGGGATTATGGCTGTGAGCCCTTGCACTCAGTTAGATTGTTTTTAGGTTGTAGTTTCTTTTTTCCAAACAGCTTTATTAAGATATAATTGATATACAGTAAACTGCATATATTTAAAGTGTGCTGCCTGGCACTGTGGCTTATGCCTATAATCCCTGCACATTGGGAGGCTGAAGTGGGAAGCACTTGAGCCCAGGAGTTCCAGACCAGGCAGGGCAATGTACTGAGACCCTGTCTCCACAAATGAACAAACAAAAATAGCCAGATGTGGTAGCATACACCTATAGTCCCAGCTGTTTGAGAGGCTGAGGCAGGAGGATCACTTGACCCCAGGAGTTTGAGGTTGCAGTGAGCTGTGATTGCACCACTGTATCCCTACCTGGGTGACAGAATAAGATTCTGTCTCAAATAAATAAGTGTACAAACTTGGTAAGTTTTGACATGTATACACACGAAACCACCACAATCAAGATGATGAAGCTATTCTGTACTCCCAAAGCTGCCTTAATATCCTGTCCCTTTGTAATCCCTCCTCCCTCACATCCCCTCACCACTGATTTTCTTTCTCTTTTTCTGTCTTTCTCTCTTTTACTTTCTTTTTATTTTTCTTTCGAGTCTCGCTCTGTCACTCAGCCAGTAGTGCACTGGCATGATCTCAGCTCAACGCAACTTCCACCTCCTGGGTTCAAGCGTCTTCACACTTCAGCCTCCTGAATAGCTAGGATTACAGGCCTGTGCCAACCCACCTGGCTAATTTTTTTGGATTTTTAGTAGAGACGGAGTTTCACCATGTTGGCCAGGCTGGTCTCAAACTCCTGACCTCAAGTGATCTGCCCACCTTGGCCTCCCAAAGTGCTGAGATTACAGGCATGAGCCATTGTGCCCAGCCTCCTTTGCTTTCTGCCACTCTAGTTTATGCATTTAAAAATTTGTATACAAATGGAATCTTAACAGGATATATTTCTTTTCCTTCTGTTTGGCTTCTTTCACTCATCTTAATTATTTTGCAACTCATCCATGTTGTATGTATCAATACTTCATTCTTTTTTTTGTTGAATGCTACTCCGTTATATGGACCCAATTTGTTCATCCTGTTTATGGACATTTGGGTTGTTTACAGTTTGGGGCGCTATTACAAATAAAGCTGTTATGAACATTCATGTGTGTGTCTTTGTATAGACATACGCTTCCATTTCTCTTGGGTAGATATTTAGTTGTGGAATGGCTGGGTCATATGGTAAATGAATTTTAACTTTTTATGAAGCTGCCAAACTAGTTTCCAAAGTCAAAATAGTTTGAATTATTTTACATTCCCACTAGTAGTGTGTGAGAGTTCCAGTTGTTTCGTAATCAAGCCAATCTTTGGAATACTTCTACTTACTTTGTTGTGTAGCCTTTTTAACTCAAGACATTCTAAAAGATGTATAGTGACATCTCATTATGGTTTTAATTTGCACTTCCCTAATTACTAACGATGAGCATCTTTTCAACTCTTACTTGCCATTTGTCTTCTTCAGCAAAGTGTTTGTTCAAATCTTTTGCCCACTTTAAAACTGGTAATTTTAAATTGGGTTATTTGTATTCTTATTGTTGGGCTCGTATTATTGAGATATACTTTACATGCCTTAAGATTCACTGCTTTAAAGTGTACAATTCAGTGTTTTTTATTTTTAAAAAATTCTGAATTTTTATTTTCATTGTTTTTTAGTATATTCACAAAGTTATGCAACTGTTATCACTATCTAATTCCAGAACATTTCATCACACCCAAAAAGAAACCTCACACCTTTCAGCATTCCATCCCCATTCCCCTCTCCCTCTGGCTTTGCCAACGCTAATCTAATTGCTGTCTAAACAGATTTGTCTCCTCTGGACATTTTATACAAATGGAATCATACAAGATGTGGTCCTTAGTGACTGCTTTCAGTTACTGTAATGTTTTCAAGATTCTTCCATGTCATAGCATAATCAGTACTTTATTTCTTTTGATGGCCAAATAATATTCCATTGTCTCAGTACAACATTTTGTTTATCCCTTCATCAGTGGATGGACATTTGGGTTGTTTGTAGTTCTTTGTTATTATGAATAATGCTGCTATGAACATTTGTGTGCAAGTTTTTAGGTAGCATATAATTTCAGTGCCTTTGGGTTTGTAACCTAGGAGTGGAATTGTTGGGTCATTTGGTAACTCTATGTTTAACTTTTTGAGGAACTGCCAAACTTGCCCACAGCAGCGATACCATTTAAAATTTTCATAGCAATGTATGAAGGTTACAATTTCTCCACTGCACAGAGTTCATTGAACTTCTTGTATCTGTGGGCTTACAGTATCTGACAAATCTGGAAAATTTTTGGTCATTTTTCTTTCTTTTTTTTTTTTGTCCAACTGAGTCTCACTCTATCACCAGGCTAGAGTGCAGTGGAGTGATCTCAGCTCACTGCAACCTCTGCTTCCCAGGTTCAAGTGATTCTTGTGCCTCAGCCTCCCAAGTAGGTGGCATTACAGGTGTGTACCACCATGCCTGACTCATTTTTGTATTTTTAGTAGAGATGGGGTTTCACCATGTTGGCCAGGCTGATCTTGACTGCCTGACCTCAAGTGATCCACCTGCCTTGTCCTCCCAAAGTGCTGGAATTATGGGCATGAGCCACCGAGCCCAGCCTATTTTTAAAAATACTTTTTCTATTCTCCATCTTTTGGGAAATATAACTATATGTACAATAACCTGCTTGAAGTTGTACTGTAGCTCACTGATATTCTGATCATTTTCTTCAGTTTTCCCCCCATGCATTTCATTTTTGGAAAACTTCTATTGGTATGCTTTTAAGTTCACTAACTTTCTGTAATGTCTAATCTGCTGATAAGCCTATCTAGTGTATTTTTCATCTCATGCATTGTACTTTTCATCCCTAGAATTTTATCTGGATCTTTTTGTTGCTGTTTTTTGTTTGTTTGTTCCCGTTGTTGTTGAGACAGGATCTCGCTATGTAGCCCAGGCTAGTCTTGAACTCCTAGCCTCAAGTGATCCTCCTACTTTGGCCTCTCAAAGCACTGGGATTACAGGTGTGAGCCATCATGCCTGGGTCTTAGTTCTTTTTCAAACATTTTCTTCTGTCTCAACATGTTTACTGTTTCCTCTAGCTTCCTTAACTTATGAACTACAGGAATAATAACTATTTTAATGTCCTGGTTTAATAATTATAGTGTCTTTGTCATTTTGGGGGCAGTTTTGGTTGACTTTATTATTATTGGTTAAATTTTCCTATTTCTTTGCATACTTGGTGATTACTGGTTAAATTTTCCTATTTCTTTGTATATCTGGTGATTTTTGATTGCAAGACTGTGAATTTTAACTATGTTGAATGCTAGATATTTTTGATTTGCCATAAATATTCTTTTTTTTTAAGTACAGCTGCACGGATTTCCCAAAAATATTCTTCATTTTCTTTTCCTGGGATTTAGTTAAGTTACTTGGACACAGCTGGATCTTTTCAGTTCTTGCTTCTGCAGGAGCACAGCAGCATCTACTGTAGGGCCAATTTTGTTTCAGTACTGATACAAAACCTCTCCAAATACTCAACTCTGTGCTCTTCAAACTATGGGATAATTCCCCCCTCCAGCTGATGCTAAAGGGACACTCCTGGGACTGTATGACCTCTAGGGATTGATTCCCTAATTCTTTCAGGTATTTCTTTGCCCATTGTTCCTTTGGGTAGTTTTCTCACAGGCATATAGTGTTTGCCATCAGCTGAAGACTCAAGGGGACCTCTGCGGACTTGACCCTTTGCAGCTCTCCAGAGCTCCATCTGTCTTGTAGCTTTCTTCCCTCTAGTACTCTAACCTATGAACTCCAACTGCTCTCCAACCTATGAATGCCTGTCTCCCCTCCTCAATTCAGGGAGACAGCTGGGCTGTTTGTTTTCTGTTTCTCAGGGGCCACTATCCTCTGCCTGATGTTCAATATCTTGGAAACTTGTTTCATCTATTTTCTTTTTTTTTCAATTGTTTCAGGTGGGAGAGTAAGTCTGTTCCCTGTTACACTGTCTTGTCCAAAAGTGATTTTTTTCAAACAGTTGTTTTCTGCTCCATTCTTTTACTCCTCACTTCTGCAATTCTATTTATCCATTTGTGGAGTTTTTTGATATTGTCTCATAGGTCACTATTACCCTTCATTGTTTTCTAATCTTTCTTCCTTTTTCAGATTGGGTAATTTCTAATGATCTGTTTTCAAGTTCATTGACTATTTTTGTGTCATCTCTAATCTGCTGCTAACACACTGAAGTTTGTTTATTTTTCAAATTTAAGAACTGTATTTTCCACTTGGTTTTTTACAATTTCTGTTCTGTGCTAAGATTTTCTATCCATTAATTATGATCATATTTTAAGCATAGCTATCACAACTGTCCTAAAATCCTTGTCTTCTTTTTTTATTTCAGATTTTCATATCTAAGATGATTTTCTTTCTTTTTCTTGAGTTACTTTAAGTTCCAGGACACAAATACAGAACGTGTAGGTTTGTTACATAAGTATACATGTGTCATGTTGGTTTGCTGCACCTATCAACCCCTCATCTAGGTTTTAAGCCCTGCAATGCATGAGTTATTTGTCCTAATGCTGTCTCTCCCCTTGCCCTCCATCCCCCGAATGGCCCTGATGTGTGTTGTTCCCCTCCCTGGGTCCATGTGTTCTCATTTTTCAACTACCACTAATACGTGTGAACATGTGGTGTTTGGTTTTTTGCTTCCTGTTTTAGTTTGCTGAGGGTGATGGCTTCCAGCTTCATCTATGTCTCTGCAAAGGACATGATCTCATTCATTTTTTTTTTTAATTTTTTATTGGATTTTAGGTTTTGGGGTACATGAGCAGAGCATGCAAGACAGTTGCGTAGGTACACACATGGCAGTGTGCTTTGCTTTCCTTCTCCCCTTCACCCACATTTGGTATTTCTCCCCAGGCTATCCATCCCCACCTCCCCCTCCCACTGGCCCTCCCCTTTTCCCCCAATAGACCCAGTGTTTAGTACTCCCCTTTCTGTGTCCATGTGTTCTCTTTTTTCATCACCCACCTATGAGTGAGAATATGCGGTGTTTCATTTCTGTTCTTGTGTCAGTTTGCTGAGGATGATGTTCTCCAGATTCATCCATGTCCCTACAAACGACACAAACTCATCATTTCTGATTGCTGCATCATAATCCATGGTGTATATGTGCCACATTTTTCCAATCCAGTCTATTATCAATGGGCATTTGGGTTGATTCCAGGTCTTTGCTATTGTAAACAGTGCTGCAAGTGAACATTCGTGTACATGTGTCCTTATAGTAGAACGATTTATAGTCTTTTGGATATATACCCAGTAATGGGATTGCTGGGTCAAATGGAATTTCTATTTCTAAGGCCTTGAGGAATCGCCACACTGTCTTCCACAGTGGTTGAACTAATTTACACTCCCACCAACAGTGTAAAAGTGTTCCTTTTTCTTGAGGATTTTTGCATCATAGTTGATCAGGGATATTGGCCTGAAGTTTATGTTTTTTGTTGTGTCTCTGCCAGGTTTTGGTATCAGGATAATGCTGGCCTCATAAAATGAGTTAGGAAGGAGTTCCTCCTTTTCAATTGCTTGAAATTGTTTCAGAAGGAATAGTACCAGCTCCTCTTTGTATCTGTAATAGAATTCAGTTATGAATCCCTCAGTCCTGGGCTTTATTTTTTGGTTGGTAGGCTATTAATTACTAGCCTAGGAGGCCAAGGTCACAGTGAGTTGTGATTGCACCACTGCACTCCAGCCTGGGCAACAGAATGAGATCCTGTCTCAAAAAAAGAAGAAGAGTTATTCAGGAAGAGAAGAGATGGTAGAAGGCTATTTGCTTGGGAAGCTATTAATTACTGACTCAATTTCAGAACTTATTATTAGTTTACTCAAGGGATTTGAATTCTTCCTCATTTAGTCTTCTGAGGGTGTATGTGTCTAGGAATTTTTTCATTTCTTCTAGATTTCTAGTTTATTTCATAGACATGTTTATAGTATTCTCTGATGGTAGTTTGTATTTCGTTGAGTCAGTGGCGAAAATATCTCTTTTTATCATTTTTAATGTGTCTATTTGATTCTTCTCTCTTTTCTATATTAGTCTAGCTAGCGGTCTATGTATTTTGTTGTTCTTCAAAAAACCAGCTCGTGGATTCACTGATTTTTTTTTCAGGTTTTTTGTGGATGATCAGTATGTCTTATGTAGTCAAAAAGCCTCAGATAGAGGCCTAATTTCTCTATTTTTACCCAGAAAAGTAAAGCATTTTATAAGATGTAGAAAAAAAAAATGGGTTCTAATACCCAACTCTGGGAAAGTCCTTTGACCATTTGAGATTCAAAACACCTATGAGCTTAGTTACTTTTGCTGTAGCCAAGAGCAACAGATTAAAAAAGTTCTTTTACAATTGCACCTGGTGAGTTGGGTACAGTGGATCTCCTGTAATTCCCACCTTCCGAGGCTGAGCAGGCAAATCACTTGAGGCCAGTTCAAGACAGCCTAGCCAACATGGCAAAACCCTCTCTACTGAAAATACAAAAATTAGCCAAGCATATGTTGCATGCTGTATCCTAGCTACTTGGGAGGCTGATGCATGGGAATCGCTTGAACCCTGGAAATGGAGGTGGCAGTGAGCCAAGATGCTGCTGCACTCCAGTAGCCTAAGTGACGTGACACACAAGACTCTGCCTCAAAAAAAAAAAAAAAAAGGTACTTGACGTATGATTTGGAGTAGACAAACGGCATGCATGAGAACGTTCCAGGGATAATGTCTGTCATGCAAAATATAATGATCCAGATAGCACTAATAATTTTTGAAGATTTTCTTTTCAAAGTTTAATTCTGTCCTTTCAGGTCTTAGCTAAAGAAGATACTGATGCAGCTATTCAGTCAATATTATACAGAAAAATTATTTAACTAAGGTAAGAATTGGCTACAAAATGCATCTCAGTTAAAATTGAATGTAGTTTTTCCTTTTATATGTAGCATATTCTATAAAAACTATTTAGAACATATGGAAAATAGAAGTAAGACTACTCCCTTGCACCTGGAATTAACCTAAGGGATCTTTGAGATTGCTTCGTGGATTCCTCTCTTCCTACACTTTGTGGGAATTCCTTCACAAAGAGGCACAGATTTCCCTCTACCCCTTGTTTTCCTTGTTTGTTTGAGACGGAGTCTTGCTCTTCCCCCAGCTGGAGTGCAGTGGTGTTATCTCAGCTCACTACAAATCCACCTTCTGGGTTCAAGCGATCCTCCTGCCTCAGCCTCCTAAGTAGCTAGGATTACAGGCACATGCCACTACGCCTGGCTAATTTTTGTATTTTAGTAGCGACGGGGTTTCACCATGTTAGCCAGGCTGGTCTCAAACTCCTGACCTCAAGTGATCCACCCCCCTCAGCCTCCAAAAGTGCTGGGATTACAGGCATGAGCCACTGCGCCTGGCCAAGCTTTATTTTTCTGTAGAGACGAAGTCAGACTATTTTGCCCAGGCTGGTCTTGAACTCCTGAGATCATGTGATCCTCTGCCTTGGCCTCCCAGAATGCTAGGATTACCGGTGTGAGCCACCATGCCTATCCTAAATCCTCATTCTTAAAGGCCCAGCCCAAATGTCTCCACTTTGGGAATCTTGGCTTTGAAAAAAAAAAAATCATTTCTTTCAATGTATGCAATATAAAAGTAATTATACACAATAAAAATTTCCCATTTTAACCATTTAAAAATTTTAAATTATTTTTTATTTTTAAATTTTGTTTCTCATTTCAACCATTTTAAGTATACTATTCAGTGTCATTACTTACATTAATAATGTTGTGCAGCCATCACCACTATTTCCAAAACTTTTTCATTACTCCAAACTGAAACTTTGTATTCAATAAGCAATGATTCCTCATTTCTCCCTCCCCCAGGCAGTGGTAACCTTGAATCTACCTTCTGTCTCTATGAATTTTGCCTATTCTAGATTTTTCATATATGTAGAATCCTATACTATTTGTCCATTGTGTCTGGCTTATTTCACTTTGGCATATTGTTTCAAGATTCATCCATGTTGTAGCGTATATCAGAGCTTCATTCCTTTTATGGCTGAATAATAGTTCATATTACACATATAAATAAATGTGGTTTGTAGATACTACATTTGTTTATCTGTTCATCTGCTGATGGATACTTGGACTGTTTCCACCTTCGGGCTATTGTGAATAATGCTGCAGTGAATATTGGTGTAGGAGTATCTATTTGAGTCCCGGATTTTCATTCATTTGGTCACATACCTACGAGTGGAATTGCTGGGTCTTATGGTAGGTCTGTTTAAATTTCTGAGGCCCCACAAACTGGGACTCTTCAAGAATCTAGGAAATGGTTTTTTCTCTCCTGTCTTCAGTTATTTTATATATAGTATGCCAGATATATATATGCATCATATATAAATATACATCTTGCTATATTCCTCCTCCCACTGTTTGTAGATTTATTTCTTAGGGATGGGTTTTACTATGTGCCCAGGCTAGAGTACAGTGGCCTGATCATAGTGAACTGCAGTCTTGAACTCCTGGGCTCAAGTGATCCGCTAGCTTCAGCCTCCTGGGTAGCTAGAAATATAGGTAGGCACCACCTCACCTTGCTTTTGATTTGTTCTTTAGTCTTTCTCCCCAGGGAGTGCAGGCATGTTGCCTCAACTACCTGTGTTTTCCTTGTTTGCAGCAGAGTGTATGTCACATAGTAGAAGTTAAAGCCAAAGAAATGATTGAATTAATGAATGTCTTTGTGGATTATTCTTAGGAGTAATTTAAACTTATGAAGTTAAGTTTTAAGTTTTGAAAACTTAAAAACAAATTAATTTGGAAAATTTTAGAACAAGAAAGCTTTAGAATAATATATTTGTCTTTTCTATCACTGTTTACTAGAAACTAGATAAGTATTTACAACATCAAGCCTTCTTAAATGCAAGAAAAAAGGAGATGTTATATAAAAGATGGGCGACCATGTGGCACATCCTCTTCAAAAGAAAATTATAGAAAAAGTTTGCTCACATAAGAAGATTAAAAAAAGGAGGCAAGAGGAATCAGACAGCTTTATAAAATATGTAAATAAAAAGGTACTAAGAGATCATTTGATGCTTTTTTCAGTTGATTTAAACCTAATGTCATCTTTGTTCATTATAATTATCCAGTCTGTCCCTTTCCCTCTACGTATGTATAATCTATACCCTGTTATAGAATAGCATAAAGTATTCTTAAATCTAGGGCATTTGGAAAGGACAGAAAAGGAAGATTAGATTTGGATTTAATGTGTACATTAGAACCATTTTTCTTTTTCCTCATGTGATTATTAATTTTAATTATCAAGTTCAGAAATTGGGCTGGGTGTGTGGCTCACACCTGTAATCTCAGCACTTTGGGAGGTTGAGGCAGGTGGATTACCTGAGGTCAGGAGCTCGAGACCAGCCTGGCTGACATGGTGAAACCCCGTCTCTACTAAAAATACAAAAATTAGCCGAGCATGGTGGCAGGCACCTATAATCCCAGCTACTCAGGAGGCTGAGGCAGGAGAATTGCTTGAACCTGTGAGGTGGAGATTGCAGTAAGCCGAGATCACACCACTGCACTCCAGCCTAGGTGATGGAGCAAGATTCTGACTCATAAATACAAAAATAAATAAAATATTTGGACTCTAGGTTCAGGACATATTTTTCTTTTATTCTGGAACTTGATTATTTGCAAAGCTCTAAAATATAGCTGTTCTAGCATTTTTAAAAAATCTGAGATGTCTGACTAGTAAGCATTTAAGAACAAATTTCCAAATATTTTAGTGTTCCAGCATTCTTTATTAAAATCTTACAAATTTTAAGTAGTTATTGCTTGAATAAATTAAGTTTCAAATGCAGCCTTCTCTTTCCGTTTGCATTTGTCACTGATGCCACTTTCAAGCATAAGAATGATACTGTGTGTTTGACTCTCAAGTCCTGATGCTCAAAATTAACTGTGCACCTCTTGTTCTTATGCGTGTTGTTTATTTCCTTGCTTAGGGAAATGCTTTATAGAACATTATGATCCAAAGGAGTATGATCCCTTTTATATGAGCAAGAAGGACCCCAATTTTCTGAAGGTAGGGTAGATTTCTTTTTAACTTTGGTATTATGAGTTTGGTTGTTTTGAGCAGCCTTAATATCTGAACGTCTTTAAGTGATTCCTAAAAGTGCAGTAGTAACAGTTTAAGCATAGTTTCCCATCACCTGATCTTAAAAAGGAACAAATAGCCAAAGGCCCAAGTAAATTAAATGTCTGTAAAAATGGAAAATATTGGCTAATGATTGGTAATAGGTAATATTTAAAGCTCCATAGACTTTTACATTAGTTACAAAAGTAACACATTTTCATGGTAGATAAATGAGAAAATTAATTTTCAAATTAAGAAAATAAAAACCAAAATTCCATTACCTGGAATTAACTCATTATAATGTTAATCATAACATTTTTTTGTATATCTATCTAGACTTCTTTCTATATGTGTGTATATATACACATTTTATTTTATAAGAATGGAGTTACATTTGGTTTATAATGGGCTTTCCTTCCCTCGATAGTTTATTATTTGCTTCTTTGCTTAAAAATATAAACATATTAATTGTCTGCATTGCATGGTATTCTGTTATTAATAGCAGAATTAATTAACCTTGTACTGAAGGATTAACCAAGTCTTAGGTTTTTTTTTCCCATTTTATTTCACCTTTGCTGCTACTGTGTGAGGTAAGTCACAGATGAGACAAGTGAGGCTCAGGCACTTGTCAAAGTCACCCAGCTGTCAATACCAATGCACAGATGTGGGTTTTTTGTTTTGTTTTGTTTTTTATGAGATGGAGTCTCACTCTGTTGCCTAGGTTGGAGTACAGTGGTGCAATCTCTGCTCACTGCAGTCTCTGCCTCCTGGGTTCAAGAGAGTCTCTCCCCCCCGACAAAAAAGAGATTCTCCTACCTCAGCCTCCCGAGTAGCTGGGATTACAGGCATGTGCCACCATGCCTGGCTAATTTTTGTATTTTTAGTAGAGACAGGGTTTCACCATGTTGGCCAGTCTAGTCTCAAACTCCTTACCTCAAGCGATTTGCCAGCTTTGGCATTCCAAAGTGCTGGGATTACAGGCTGAGCCTCTGCTCCTAGCCTAATCTTGTATAAAATGTTGTTTTTTGAAATATGTATACATTGTGGAATGACTAAATCAAGCTAATTAACATATACATTGCCTCACAAACACCAGTTTTTCTTCTTTTTTTTTTTTTTTTTTGCCATGGAAAAACCCCCTTGTTTATTTGATTAAACAAAAATAAAATAAGCTGCATAGGAACAATTTTAAAGTCCAAAGAGACACCAACTTTGTTTTAAGGCTGTAGTAGCTGATACAGCATCTCCTTGCTACCTTCCCCAGCCTTCTCTGTGGACCACAGCGATACATTCAGAAGCCTGCTAGCTAACACAGTAGTTTTTGAACACTTTCCCATTGGTTCTTAACTGCTCATTGCCTGTCATGCCTGCAGCCTGACATTTAAGATTTAAAATGTGAAAGCCAAAAGGGGGGCGGTGGGGCACACCAGTTTTTTCTAAGTGAGAACACATAAAATCTATTCCCTTTGCAAATTTCAAGAATACAATACATTGTTATTAACTATAGCCATCATGTTGTACAATAGATCTCCAGAAAAATTTTATGGCAGCTGAGTGAGGTGGCTCATGCCTGTAATCTCAGCACTTTGGTAGGCTGAGGCGTGTGGATCACCTGAGGTCAGGAGTTCAAGACCAGCCTGGGCAACATGGCGAAATTCCATCTCTACTAAAAATACAAAAATTAGCCAGGCATGGTGGCATGTTCCTGTAGTCCCAGCTGCTCGGGAAGCTGAGACAGGAGAATCACATGAACCCGGGAGGTAGAGGTTGCAGTGAGCCGAGATGGAGCACCACTGCACTCCAGCCTGGGTGACGGAGTCAGACTCTGTCTCAAAAAAAAAAGAAAAGAAAAAAAAAAAATGTTATGGCTGAAAAAAATATAATTGTATTGCATTCAAGTGAATTTAGTGACACAAATTATTTGTTAATAAGGTTTCTTGAACATTTAAAAAGATACCTTTTTAAATGGTATTTAGGGAATACTTTTTATCCTTTTTAGAGAGGTTTTATTAGAACTGGTATTGGCCCTCATGTGTCCAAATCATTGAGAAGTCCAATGTTAATTATTTTTGGAGGTCTCCAACCTTAAGTTGTACAGTCATGCTGTGGGCTTGTGTCATTCCACAAAATGGTCCCACAACCTCCCAATTCTTGGTGGGACACATCTCTGGTCCCAGGCCCAGGTTGTACTATGGATGTTATTCCTTATGATCACATGCTGTGGCTTAGGTGCTGGCCCCATTTGTAGACCCAGCATGGCTGTTTCATGTCTTCAGATCCAGGTCCTTGCTCATGTCTGGCAGAGACTCCACCTGAGAGTGTCTCGGGTAGACTCCAGAGGCTGGGCTCCTGGTGATCTGCTCTGGACTCTTTATGGACCTGGCACCTCCCAGACCCTGCTCCTGAGCTGCTGCAGAGTCTGTAAACTTGTCTTATTCTCAATTCTGGGTTTTCCAGTGGAGATATCTAATGTTAACTCCTTTCCCCCTTTTAATTTCCTCAGTACAGGAAAGTTCATCCTGCCCCTTCTTTCAACAGTAGAGAGAGTGTCTGGCTTCAGACCAGCCCAAATGACCCTGTCTGTCTTCCTTTCCTGGGAGTGGGACAGATCTGCCTTTAGGAACACAGAGCCTTGATTCCTTCCTCAGATGGATCTTCAGCATTTCTTTGAATGTGCTTTGTGCAGCTTTACTTTAAAGTTAACTTTATTAAGTCTTCCTCCTTCAGTACACATCTTTTAGATATTCTTTGTGATGAAATGGAAGTATGCGAAAAGCACTTCTGCTGCTACTGAAATACAGATGATTGCTTGAATTGTGAGCTGAACTGGCTGCTTTCTTTTTTCTTCCATGAAACACCATTTTTACTTGAAAGAATGCCTTACAAACTGTGGTTAGTAAGTCCTGGGTATTTGGCGGGTATTTTCTAGAAAATGAATGAAATCAGCTTGTCACTTCAAGAAAAACTACTGACAATATTTGTTGCCCGTGATAAAATGTGAGCTTTCAAGCAAAACATTTGGAATTTTGGAAAACTCATATGCACCATCAGAAGTGTGACAGTGTCCCAATACTCAAAAGATCTTACAGGTGAAATTGGTAATGATATTAATGAATGTGATTCTTTGATATTAAATAATGAAATGTACAGACATTTGGAAGATCTTGCATAACTCCATGATCCAGTTTTTTCTCAAATGTTACAAAATCATGCATGGGAAAAAGATTCATTCAATGTACAAGATAGACTATTGGACTTAGTAGAAGAGTATGAAAAATTCATGGATATGGTTTCAGATTCCACATCATAACTAACCTTTAAGAAACTACCTCTTACTGAGTTTGGATATAGTATCAAAAATGAATATGCACAATGATCTAAAAAGGCTGTTAAAATACTCCTACCTTTTTCAACTACATATCTCTATATGGATTTTCTTAATATATGACAACTAAAACAAGAAATCTCAACAGATTGCCTGCAGAAGCAGATAATGAGAATCCATCTATCTTCTATTAAGCAAGACATAAAGAAGTTTATAAAAATGTAAAGCAATGTTACTCTTCTCATTTTTTGTTTTGTTTTGGGAAATATAGTTATTTTTCATAGAAGGATATGTTAAACATAATAAGCATATTATTATTTTAAAATTAAAAAGCAATTTAAAATTTCTGTTTTAATTTCTAATAAACTAAGTATCCATAGATCTAAGCCATATACACAAAAGTTATTTGGATATAACAACAACAACAACGTTTTGAAATAAAATAGTTTCAGAACCACTGTTATGATACCTCCATTATGATGTACAGGTGCTTGTCAGTAGAAAGAGGAGAGTCTCAGGACTTATAATTGTTGTTAAAACTTTAGATTTTTCTTTGTTTCTATCTTCAATTTTAAATTTAAAATTTGGTCCGGATGTGGTGGCTCACGCCTATAATCCTACCACTTTGGAGGCTGAGGTGGGAGGATGGCTTGAACCAGCAGTTCGAGACCAGCCTGGCAACATAGGGAGACCCTGTCTCTACAAAAAAATAAAAAAATTAGCTGGACATGATGGTGCACACTTGTGGTCCCAGCTACTTGGGAGGTGAAGGTGGGAGGATGGCCTGAGCCCAGGAGGTCGAAGCTGCTCTCCAGGCAGGGCAACAGAGCGAGACTCTGTTGGAGAGCTTCAAGATGACTGGCTCACAGCATCTGACACTCACCTCCTCAACAGAAGAACCAAAATAGTGAGTAGATGATTGTACTTGGAACACATCATCTAAGAGAGAACACTAGAATTCCAGAGAAGTGACTAGGAAACATCTAAGGTCAGGAAGGAGAAGGAGGTGAGGCAGCCTGCCTGAGACTAACACGGGGGCTGCCTCGAGATGCAGAGGGCCAAGATGTGGGCAGCTGGCAGCAACTTTGCTGACCTCAGCATGGGCGCCATGGATCATTTTCTTACATCTGGAAGACAGGCCCCACCTGTAGCATCACCTAGGCTGAAACATACACTCCCTAGCTGCCTGCCTATGCCTGTCACCACTGAAAGCAACCACACCCTCCCCAGCAGCAGGGACACAGCACAGCCACCAGCTCCCCTACCAAAGTACACTGCAGGGGGCTGGGGATCGCCCTGCCCCATCCACCATCATTGGCAAGAGCCCACCAGCCTGCTGCTACCATCATAGCTGGCACCCTCCTGCATGCGCCAACTGTGGGTCAGGAGACTGGCTCACTCAGCCGTTGCAGCCGCTGCCAACACCCATGTGGGCCACTTGGGAGAGTGTCTCATCACTGTTACTGCCATTGCCTATGTCATGTCCACTGCCCAGGGGTTCAAGAATCTGCCCATCCACCTAACCCACTACGGCCACTGCCTGTACCCTAGTAAGCTATCTGGAGACCCAAGAACTGGCCCACCTGAACCCATAGCACTGGTTCCAGTGTATGCTGCTCTGAGGACCCAGGCCAGGTATGCTTAGCCTGTCACTGCTTCCAGCATCCCCATCCCCAGCAAAACCTCACCACAGCCTTCAACAACTGTACCCTAAGCAACCGAGGAAAACACAGACACCACTGACACTGTTTGCAGCTGGAGAAATCATATGGAGACTACACTGCTGCACATATCCAGGATCAAAGCTGAAGTGTCTTACCCATCCAACACCATAGAAAGCAAATCAAAAAACAGGAAGAAGCATCCGTTACCCCAGATGCACAGATGTCATGTAAGAACACAAGAAACATGAAAAAGCAAGGCTCTGACACCTCCAAAGCAGCACAGCTCTCCAGCAGCAGAGTCCAGTGCCATTGAAAATTTGATCTGCTCTTCATAATGAATAGGTCACATACAAATACCTGAAAATGATAGTACCTTTCTTTGTTCCTTTTATAGTGAGTTAATATTTTTTAATATTTTGTAAGTAGCACTCTTCATAACTTCTGTAAAAGCAAATTGTACTGGGCAGTCTGATCACTGTTTATTGCAACTCTAATAGTCATTGCTAAAACGCACGCACTGAATGAAGAGACCCCCCACACAGGCTTTGTGTGAGCAACATGGCCGTTGATTTACCTGGGTGCTGACGGGCTGAGGCCGAAAAGAGTGTCAGCCAAGGGCAGCGGGATAGAGTTGGTTTTATAGATTTGGGGTGGGTAGTGGAAAGTTATAGTTTAGGGCAGTTTTTTGCAAGCTGGGAGGGGGTTGTAGGGTGTGGAGTCAGGAGGGTTGACCAAGGTCGGTTACAAAGTCCAGTGACCTTATCAATTAGGTGGGGAAAAGGAACAATAGATTATCTCAAAGTTAAGGGGCGCAGCAGGGGTTGATCATTTCTTCGGTCTTCCAGGAACTCATCTGGAGTGTCCGTGCAGGTCACCGAGGTTAAAATGGCATCCATGGCACCGTCAGTCAGCCTAAAAGACTTACAGTTGTGATGTTTATTATAATTACCCCTGAAAAACTAGCCTGATGAGGATTAGAAAGATAAATGAGTGACCTTTTAAGATTGTGGTAGAATTTCACTGACTAGGTCTATATGGTGAATGTCACTGTGAATCCTGTTATTTCTTATGTAAACTGTCATTTTGATACTGATAATATTGGCTTTAACATAGGTTTAGTGCTTCCATACCTTGGCTCACAAATAATCTAATTTTGAATAACTTGGTAAGTTTAAGTAATGTTAGTTATGTTGTTGGTTATCAACGTTACGCATTAAGGTAATATATGGATATATTTTTCTTTTGTGCATGGGAAAGCAATTTTAAAAATTTGGGAACATATGATAAAAAAAAAAAAATAATTTTTGAAGACTGAACCCCACTTTGAAACAAGAGCTAACCTTGTCTCTTTGACTGGAGGGCCTTGTTAAGAGAGGTATTGATATGCCCCCATCTCTTTGTAAATTATTAAATATACATAATGGTAAGCCTATTTGTAAATACTGTATTATTTACTCTCTGACATAAGAGCCATCCATATTTGGATGCTTAGAATAGACTGAAAATGTTTACTACTCAGACCCGCAACTCAGTCCTCAAACAAGTGCCTCTCTGTAGGTTACCATCCCACCATTTCGCGACCCTTTGAAAAAAGCACAAAAGACAAGGATAATGAAAAAAGAACTCTTCTTCAGTGTGAGACTGGTACTTAGTTCCTAATTGTTATATGATTTTCATAGCCCAAGAACAATGGCAGTTGCCTTTAAGGATGTTAATTTAAATTTTTATTATTTCCTGCAGGCAAATATATACAATAAAAGAATTCAAAGAAGTTGAGAAGGCTCAGCTGCATTCCAGATTCCCACAAATTTCTAATTCAAGGCACTTTATGACTCCAAATGAGTGGCTAAAACTGCCTATAGGATACATAGAAAGTGAATTTTGTAAGAGGAGAAGGTAATGGTTAATATACGAGAAATTACAGAACCTTTTGGACTTTGAAAATTCTTGAGACTGATATAACTTTTTCATAGTTATTGTTTTTTTTCAATTTTCCTTTTTTTTAGATGGTCTCATTCTGAAAATTTCATTTTTCAGTGAAAAATCTGTAATTCTTATCTTTATTTTTCTGTATGTGATGTTTCTTTTTTCTTGGGTACTTTTGGGATTTTCTCTTTCTCTTTGGTTTTCATTAGCTAGACCATGATCTGTCTGTATTTGTTTTTTTCTTTCTATCTTAATGTTCTCTGAAGTTCTTGCATGTGTGGTTTTATGTCTTTATTATTTTGGGGAAATTCTAGACCATTATTACCACTTCAAATGTTTCTTATTCCCTATTCTCTCTGCTTTTTTTCTTCCTTCTGAGACTCCAGTTATATGTATATTAGACCACTTGATGATGTCTCACAATGCCATAGCTCTTACTCTGTTCTGTTTTTCCACTCTTTTTTTTCTTATTTGTATTTCAGTTGGATGATTTCTGACTTGTTTTTAAGTTCACTGTCCTTCCTTAGCTGTGTCCCATCTACTGAAGACCCCATCAAAGGAATTCTTCATCTTTGATAAGATTTTAAAATTCGAACATTACCATTTGATTCTTTTATATAATTTTTAATTCTGAAATTCTTCATTTCCTCATGCATGTTGTCCACCTTTCCACTAGATTCTTTACCATATTAATTATTAAAAATTCCCTCTCTGGTAGTTCCAACATTAGGGGTCATTTATAAATCTAGTTCTCTTGATTGCTTTTATCTCTTGATAATAGCTTGTTTTGCCTTGCTTTTTTTTTTTTAATTTTTTGCATGTCTTGTAGTTTTTTACTGAGTGCCAGATATTTGTTGTAGAAGAACAGTGTACACAGAGTATTTATGTGTAGAAATGGACTTGCCTTTTCTTCTGTCAAGCATTTGTGTGAAGGATTAGGCTATCTAGTTGGAGTTGAATTGACTCTGGGTATTGTTATTGCTATTGTACCTTTAGTGCACCACAGGCTTCAAATACCTCTAGTGGTTGGCTGCTTGTCTTGTGCTTAGGTGGAGGTGGGGTACCAGAAAGATTTTCTCAAGTGTTTCTGCCTCCTCCCTGTTTCAGCTGTCCATGCAAGCTGGCATCGTAGAGATGGAGGGGTGTTCTCTCCATGCTCTTGCCTCTCCCTTGGGAGTATACCACTCTTGCATGTTGCTTATTGCAAGGCTCCTAGTGGAGGCAGAGAAATACCTTATTTTTTCTCATTGAGCTTCAGTTTTAGGCAAGCCCTACGTGCTAAAGCCTCAGGAGCAGGGCTTTCCTGAGGTTCCTCTTTCTTATCCTTGTGGCAGCCAAACTTGACCTTGTATCTATGGTTGTTTTTGGATGGCAGTTCCTGTCTGTCTTCCAATGACAGCAGATTTCTGCTTAATGTAAGAATGGGAGTCTTGATGTCTTTTTTTTTTAATTTTTAATTTTAAGTTTTGTGGATACATAGTGGTTGTATATATTTATGAGGTACATGAAATGTTTTGATACAGGCACGCAATTGATAATAATCATGTAAGTAAATGACGTATCTATCCCCTCATGATTTATTCTTCGTATTACAAAGAATCCAATTATACTCTTTCCGTTATTTTTAAATGTGCATTTAAAGTGTTATTGACTGTAGTTCCTTTGCTGTGCTATGATATACTAGATCTTATTCATTCTTTCTATTTTTTGTACCCATTAACCCCATCCTACTTACCCTTCACCCTCTCAATATACTTCCCAGCCTCTGGTAACCATCTTTCTGCTCTCCATCTCCATGAGTTCAATGTTTTGATTTTTAGATCCTACAAATAAGTGGTCACATGTGATATTTGTCTTTCTGTGCATGGTTTATTTCACTGAGCACAATAACCTCCAGTTCCATCCATATTGTTGCTAATAACAGGATTACATTCTTTTTTATGGCTGAATATTACTCCATTATGTGTAAGTACATTTTCTTTATCCATTTATCTGTTGATGGACACTTAGTTTCCTTCCAATCTTGGCTAATGTGAACAGTGCTGCAACAAGCAATGGGAGTGCAGATATCTCTTCAATATACTGATTTTCTTTCTTTTGAATATGTATGCAATAGTAGGATTGCTGGATCATGTGGTAGGTCTATTTTTAGTTTTTTGAGACTCCTCCAAACTGTTCTCCATGGTAGTTGTACTCATTTACATGCCCACCAACAGTGTACGAGATTTCTCTTTTCTCTACATTCTTGCCAGCATTTGTTTTTGCCTGACCTTTAGATATAAGCCATTTTAACTGGAGTGAGATGATACCTCATTGAAGTTTTTCTTTTTTTTTTTTTGAGATGGAGTCTCACAGTGGCCTCTGCCTCCTGGGTTCAAGCAATTCTCCTGTCTTGGCCTCCCAAGTAGCTGGGACTAGAGGTGGACACCACCACGCCCAGCTCATTTTTGTGTTTTTATGGGTTTTCACTATATCAGTCAGGCTGGTCTCGAACTCCTGACCTCAGGTCATCCACCCACCTTGGCCTCTCAAAGTGCAGGTGTGAGCCACCATGCCTGGCTTGTGGTTAATTTGTAATAAGGCTTTCCTTCGCTAAAAAATCTGATGCCATAGTATTGGCTTCTGTGTGCATTGGGCAGCGTGAGCCACCGCACCTGGCCTGCTTTCTTTCTTTTTATTTTTTGTAAATCTGTTGTTGGTTTTTTGATTTGTGGTTAGCATGAAGCTTGCAAATACTATCTTGTAACCCATTATTTTTATTCATTTATTTTTTAAAAGACAGGGTTTCACCATGTTGGCCAGGCTGGTCTTGAACTCCTGACCTCAGGTGATCTGCCTGCCTTGGTCTCCCAAAGTGCTGAGATTACAGGTGTGAGCCACCATGCCCGGCCGTAACCCATTATTTTTAACTGACAACAACTTAAAACTGACTGCATATACAAACACACACACAAAAAAACTAGTGAAAACACTAATTTAACTTTGTCCCCCTACACTTTTTAACTTTTTCTCTTTGTGTCTTATTGTACTATTTCTTCAAAAGTTATTGTAACTATTTTTGATTGGTTCATCATTTAGTCTTTCTATTTAAGATAAGAATAGTTTACACACCACCTTTGCAGTGTTATATTATTCTGTGCTTTTCTGTGCGCTTACTATTACCAGTCAGTTTTGTATCTAGAGATCACTTCTTGCTTATTAACATCCCTTTCTTTAGATTAAAGAACTCCCTTTAGCATTTCATATAGGACAGGTTTGGTGTTGATGAAATCCCTCAGCTTTTGTTTGTCTGGGAAGGTCTTTATTTCTCCTTCATGCTTGAAGGATATTTTTTCTGGATAATACTATTCGAGGGTAAAAGTTTCTTTCTGTCGGCACTCTATTTATTTATTTTATAAATTTTTTTTGAGACAGAGTCTCACTCTGTCACCCAGGCTGGAGTGCAGTGGCTGCAACCCCCCACCTCCCAGGTTTGAGAGATTCTCCTGCCTCAGCGCCCCACACCCCCGCCTGAGGTAGCTGGGATTACGGGATTACAGGCTCGCACTATCACGCCTGACTAATTTTTGTATTTGTATTTTTATTTTTTGAGACAGAATCTCATTCTGTCAGCCAGGCTGGAGTGCAGTGGCATGATCTCAGCTCACTGAAATCTTTGTCTCCTGGGCTCAAGCAATTCTTCTGCCTCAGCTTCCTGAGTAGCTGGGATTACAGGCATGTGCCACAGCGGCAGGCTAACTTTTGCATTTTTAGTAGAGATGGGGTTTCACCATGTTGGCCAGGCCGGTCTTGAACTCCTAACCTCATGTGATCCACCTGCCTTGGCCTCCCAAAGTGCTGGGATTACAGGCACAAGCCACCATGCCCAGCCAATTATTTGTAATTATTTTAATTTCTTTGTTAAATTTATATGACAGAATTTGGAATTCCTTCTCTGTGTTATCATGAATTTCTTTGAGTTTCTTCAGAATAAGCTGTTTCGAATTCTCTGTTTGAGAGGTCATGTATCTCTGTTTCTCCAAGATTGGTCCCTGGGGCCTTGTTCATTTCATTTGGTATGCTTATATTTTCCTGGATGGTGTTGATGCTTACAGATATTTGTCAGTGTCTGAGCATTGAAGAGTTAGGTAACGTAGTCTTCACAGTCTGGGCTTGTCCTTGTTGGGAAGGCTTTTCAGATATTTGAGGGGATTTGGGCCCCAAGCCCAATAATGCTGCGGTTTTTGCAGACTCATAGAGGTATTGCCTTGGTAGACTTTGATAAGATCCAGAAGAGTTATCTGGTTCCTAGGCAGAGACTCCTGATATTTCCCCCAACCTCCTCCTAAACAAGCAGAGTCTCTTTCTCTGTGCTGAGCCACCTGGAGCTGGGCGGTGTCATGATGCAAGCACTCCTGTGACCACCATCACTGGTGCTGCATTGGGTTAGACCTGAAGACAGTACAGCACAAGGCCCTTCCCTTCATGGGGGTGAGTTCCCCAGGTCCTTGGCAGAGATGCTGTCTGAGAGCCAGGGCTTGAAGTGAAAATACCTTAGCTTACCTGATGTTCTTTTCTACTGCAGCTAAACTGGCATTCCTACCAAAATATAAAATCCTTTCCACTCTTGCCTCCCCTTTCCACAGGCAGAGGACCTCTCTCTGTGGCCACCACCACCACTGGTCTATGGGGATTCTTCCAGGTCACTACTGATGTTTACTTAAAGCCCAAGAGCTCTTCCTTCAGCTTGTGAATGCTACCAGGCCTGGGACTTACCCTTCAGGGCTCTGGGCTCCCATTTACTCTAGGGCAGGTTCAGAAATGCTGTCCAAGAGCCCAGACCCAGACTCAGGGACCCCAAAAGCCTGCTTGTTGCTCTATCCTACTGTGACTGAGCGGGTACCTAAGGTACAAAACAAAGTTCCCTTTTCTCTTTCCTCTGTTTTTCTCGAACAGAAGGAGCCTTTCACCATAGCCACCACAGCTGGGAA